GGTCAAGCACAAAGCCCTGGCTCCCACTTTTTTTTTGAAGATTTTATTTATTTATTCATGAGAAACACAGAGAGGGAGAGGCAGAGACACAGGCACAGGCACAGGCAGAGGGAGAAGCAGGCTCTATGCAGGGAGCCTGATGCGGGACTCGATCCTGGGACTCCAGGATCATGTCCTGGGTCTAAGGCTGGTGCTAAACCGCTGAGCCACCCAGGGATCCCCCTGGCTCCCACTTCTATCCTCCCAGCCCTGCCCAAGTATTAAAGCCTCAGCTGAGTTAACCTGACTCAACCAACACCAAACCCTGATCCTCTGCACCTGGGGCTCACACCTCCCAGTCTCTCCCAGGCCAAACTTGATGCCACTTTTGTCTCTTACTGTTCTCTCATATCCTGTGTGCATCCATGACTCCCATGGCTCTACCTCCCTCATTTGGTCCTCCCTTCTGGGAAGGTGAATGCATGGGTGGGGGGGTGCGGTGAGGACATGCTGACTACTGACAACTGGGGATGGTGGGCCTGAGGGTGCATCTGCTCTGGAAGGAGAAGGTCCCTGGGACATGGTCCCAGGCAGAGCCCAAGGCAAGCACAAAGCAGCTGCTCCAGCCTCCTGGAGGTTCCTAAGAACAGTGTCTAGATGTGCCCAGACCCACCCCTGGTCACAACATGATGGTGGCCTGAGAGAGTATGGAGGGGTTGAGGGCTCTGGGTGTCAGGGTGGAGGACATTCAAAGGATTAATTCTCAGGGGCGCCTGGCTGGCTCAATCGGTAGAGCATGTGACTCCTGATGTCAGGGTCATGAGTTCAAGTTCCACACTGGACATAAGAGATTACTTAAAAAAAAAAGATTAATTTCCAGAGCTTCCTGTATCATTGTCAAGGTCATACTTATGTTGACAACTCCCACATTCAATCTCCGGCCCAACAGAGGCTCTGAAGCCAGGCCTGGAGAGCCAATGTCTTTAACGCATGATTTCTGACATGAATCTCCCCCCAAAAGGTTCTCCCTGCACCCCTTCCCTCCTTCACCTCTTGAGGCAGCTCTACATGGCCAGTAGCTCCTCCCTTCCCCAGAGCCTGACCAGCAGGCACTGTGTGTCTTCCACCATCTGCCCCCAATCTCCCACTGACTGCAGTGGTCTCCTCACCACCTGCCCCTTTGTCCAGGCCCTGATGAAAGCAGCTCCTCCTTGGGCTTGGGCATATGGCTGGCACTTCTCTCTTTCTGCCCCATCCCTGGGCCCCTGGCCCTCATGTCCTTATGCATCCTGTGCATCTTCTGAAGACGGCCCTGTGCTTCTGGATGCTACAGACACACCACGGAGCAAAAGAGACACAGCCTCCTGCCCTCCAGGACCTGGCATCACAGTGAGAAGATACAGACCAGGCCTACTCACTGCAGCACCTTCAGCAACACAGGCCGAGTCATTGTTTATGAGGGCTCCCCAGAGCATCGCAGACTGTCTAGCAGTGCCCATGACCTCCACCCTGCACCATGGCAACCCAAAATGTCTCCAGATATTGCCAAATCTCCCTGAGCAAAGTTCCCCCCAGCAAGAGCTCTGGATACAATGAACAATCACCATATCTAATAAGGTATATAGGGAGTCAGAAGGTGAGAATTGTAAGGAGAATAAAGAATGTGGGACAGGGCAAAAGCGTCGGAGGAGGATGGGGGTGTTATGGACTGAATGTTTTTATCTCCCAAATCTATATTAGGAGCCCTAACCCCCAGTGTGGCTGCCTTTGGAACAAAGGGGCCTCTATGGAAAAAACTCAGGTTAGACAAAGTCATGGAAGAGGGGCCCTAATCTGATAAGATTAGTGTCCTTATAAGAGTCGGCCCCACAGTGAGGAGTGTCCTCACCCCGTTAGGATGGCCCTCATCAAGGAACAACAGGGGTTGGCGAGGACGTGCAGAAGAGGAGACTCTCGTGCACTGCTGGTGGGAATGCAAACTCGTACAGCCGCTGTGGAAACAGCACAGAGGATTCCCCCAAAACTTAAAAATGGAATTACTGCATGATGCAGCCATTGTACTACTGGGCATTTAACTGAGGAAAATAAAAGCACCGATGTGAAAAGATGTCTGCACTCCAGGTTCACAACTTCTCAGCCACAGAGGGGCTTGGGCTTGGACTGTCCCTGGGGAAGGTGACACCTGGGAGGGCTTTGAGCAGACAGTAGGCAGTGTCTGATGATGATTTAAAAGCTCCTTTGGTCGCAGCAGCAGCAGCATTATTTACAAGAGTGACTCCAGTGCCCACCTACAGATAAATGGATGAGGAAAGCATGGCCCATCCATCCAGTGGAGTGTTATTCAGCCTTAAATGCGAAGGGGACTCTGCTACCTGCCACCACCTGGATGAACCCACGGACACTGTGCTAGGTGAGGTGAGCCAGCCACCCATTGACGACATCGTGTGATCCCACTTCTCTGAGGCCGACGAGAGGTCAGACCACAGAGAGGGACAGCGGCAGTGGGTGTCGCAGGTGGGGACGGGGGAGGGGTGGGGAGCTCATGTTTCTTGGGGGCAGTTTGGGAAGATGAGAGAGTTCTGGGGGTGGAGGGTGGGGCTGTCCACAACACTGTGAACATACTGCCACTGAACTGGGCACTTTAAATGGTCAAAATGGTATCTTTCACGTTGTGTGTGTGTGACGGCAATTTTAAAAAGAAGGTGGGAGCAAGTCCTCCTCTTAGGAGGCCGGCCGCAAGGGGGCGGGCGGCGCAGGCTGCGAGCCCTGAGTCAGGAGTCCAGGCAGGGGCCGCGGCAGGATCGGGACAGGGCGTCTGGCGGCTCCGAGCGCGGAGCAGACGGGGTTTCTGGAGGGACTGCTGCAGATCTGCTCTGAGCATCGGCGGGGATAGTGGCCCTTGCCCGACACGGGCAGGGCTGTGGAGGGCGCAGGGCGCCGGCAGCCGGAGGAGGAGAGACCAGATCAGCCTTGGATTTGCTGAGACACCAAGAAGCCAACTCTCCAAGTGGCTGGACGTGCGCCCCCGAAGCGCCGCCAGCCCTGGACACCCTCACAAGGACGGGTCCCTCGGCAGGGGACACGAATAAGTAGGGCGCAAAGGACTGCCCGGCAGCACCCGAGGGGTGCAGCAAAGGTGGGGGGTACCGAGGACTGTCCCTAGATTGTCAGAGCAGCCGAGGTCGCCAGCGGGACACGAATGGGCTAAGAGAGAAAGGAGAGATGAAGCGGGGCCGGTGGAGGGCTAGGGACTCAGGAGGATACCAAACAAATATCACGGGGCGCCTGGGCGGCTTCGGTCCTGCAGCCTCTGACCCCTGATCCCAGCTCAGGTCTGATCTCAGGGTCCAGCGTTCAGGGAAAGAAAAAGAAATCACAGCCAGTTCTCGGGTCTGGAAAGAAGAGCCGGTGCCCTGGGGCGGGGTGGGGGGACATCAGCGCTGGCGGTGGAGAGACAGCAAGCTCCGGCGGCGCCAGCACTCAAGACCACCCGCAGCTCAGAGGTCCTCCCCAGGTCCCGCCCCGACATCCCGCGGCCCGGGGCGGAGGCACCCCCCCCCCCCCCGGCAGAGGCGCGCGGTGGGGGCTGGAGGTCGACGGTGCGTCGGCTGGATGGTCAGGCTAGGCGTGGGCTGAAATGACCCCGAAGAAGAAGATCTTTGGGGGCCGGGGAAACGGGAGCAAGTGGGCGATGCCGGCTCCGCGGTGCTGGAGGGGCTGGAGCCGGGCACGGTCCGGACCGGGGACGCCGCGCACCCCAGGCCTTGCCCACCGAGCAGCAGGCGCTGGACGTGCCGGCAGCGCCACGGGAAGGGCGCGGATCCCCAGCACCCCTGCCTGAGGTCTAGCCGGCGCCCTGCTTCTGGGCAGGCTAGGTCCCCCTCCGCACGTGGACGCGACCGTGTGCCTGTGCGGGAGCGGGAGGCCGGCGCAGATCCCAAGCGTGAGACCGAGAGGCGCCTTGGGCGCGCGGGTCGCTGCCGCGCGGGGCCCCGCCTTCTGGGCTCAGGGCATGGAAGGGCGCGGAAATGCGCACGTCCGGGATCGCGGCCCGTAGGCCCGGCGCCGCAGACCCCCCGGAGCCCGAGGTCGGGCGCACCGCCCCCTTCCCGGAGCCTGGCGGCCGGCGTCTGGCCGGGGCTGGGCGGAGCGGGCGGAGGACGCCTAGGCGCTGCCCTGCACACAGTGGCGTCTGGGGTCTCCGGCACTCACGCGGGGGGGACGTGGGCCTGGCGCGCCTCCTCCTAAGGAGGTGCTGGGCCTTGTAGGGACCCAGGAGCCGCCAAGGGGGGCCTATCATTTCCAGAGGGGCCGGGTCCACCCCGCACACGTGGGCCCCGCGGGAACTGAAGCCCGCGCGCCTCGGGCGCCTGGGGGACCAAGCGGGGCTCTTCCAACAATCCGCGGATTCACCAGCGAGGGCACAGAGAGGCCCAGCGGCCCCTCCGCGGTCACACAGCATCGCAAGGCGGGAGGGCCCCAGGGCTGGGAGAGGCGGGGCCCGAAGGCGCCCGGTGTCCACGCACCGAGAGGTGGACGGGTCAGAGGCGAAGGCGCCGGGGAGTGAGGACCAGAGAGGCTGGACTCCCCCTCCCCACGCCTGGTTCGCTCCTAGGGCTGACCTCCCCGGGGCAATCCGACCCGACGGGATCCTACCGGCCGGCAAGGAGCCTCCCCAGGCCCTGGCGTGCACAGAGCCCCTCCCTCAAGATGGGCCCCAGGGACACCCACAGACTCCGCACCGCCGGACTCCAGCAGCAGATTTCCCGCTTTTTCAGCTCCGCTCCGGCCCACAGTGGCTCTGGAGGTTCCGCCCAGACGCTGCCTCCTCCTGGCAGCCCTCCGGACTCCAACGCCAGTGAACCTGGTGGGGGGCTGCAGGCAAAACCTTCCCCAAGGGCCGAGCACTTGGGAGTCTCGGAGCTTCCTTGGTCCCTTTAAACTGGTGGTTCGAGCAGTCTCGGGGTTCCCATGACAACGACGGCGGAGGGGGGACCCGGGCGCGGTCCGGTCGGAGCGCATGCGCGGTGCGCGCCCGACGCAGCACGTCCTCCGGAGTCGCCGGCGCTGCTGTCGCGGGGTCCCTGAACCGCGGTGAGGGCGGGGTGGGGCGTTCGCGGGCCTGGGGGGCGGGTTGAGGGCTCGGGGTGCCGGGGCGCGAGGGTCCCTGGACTGGGGTGAGGGCGGGGTAAGGAGTCTGTGAACCCCGGTGAGGGCGGGGCGGAGGGGTTCGCGGGCCCGGGATGGGGTGGGGTACCGGGGCCCATGAACCGGGGTGAAGGCGGGGCGGGGCATTCGTGGGCCCAGGGCGGTGAGGGGGGTGAGGGGGGCCATGAACCGGGGTGAGGGCGGGGCGGGGGGGGGTCCGTGAACCGCGACGAGAACGGGGTGGGAGGGGTTCGCGGGCCGGGCGGGTGGAGCGAGGGGGGGTGTGGGGGTCCGTGAACCGGGATGAGGACGGGGTTTCTCTGGTCCCGGGAGTGAGCGCAGGATGGGACGGGTTCACGGCCCCGGGGGCGCGGTGAGGGCGGGGTGCGAGGAGTTTCCGGCCGCGGTGGGACGGGTTCGTGGGCGGGGGGGAGTTGGGGCGGGGTGGGGGGTCTGTGAAGCCCGGTGAGGGCGCCGCTGATCCCCGCGGCTCGTGCAGGGCGCCCCGGCTCCTGCGCTCGGCCATGGCCCCCCCGCCTCCCTGCAGGCTCCCGAGGTCGCTGCCGCCGTGGCTGCTGCTGCTGCTGCTGAGCGTGGCCTTGCTGGGTGTCCAGGCCCGTGCCGAGCCCGCCGCCGGGAGCGCCGTCCCCGCGCAGAGTACGTGCGTCGCGGAGGGTCCGCGCGGGCCCGGCAGCGCCCGGGTGCGAGAGCTCCGCGCCTGCCCATTGTTCCCGGCACCCACCTGCCGGGCCGCCCCTTGGGTGGGAGGTGCTCGGGTGGGATTGCGCCGGGGCTGCCTGCCCTGCACCCTGACGCTCGCCTCCGTAGGCCGCCCGTGCGTGGACTGCCACGCGTTCGAGTTCATGCAGCGCGCCCTGCAGGACCTACGGAAGACAGCCTACAGCCTGGACTCCAGGGTGAGCCCCCCCACCCGGCCGGGAGGGGCTGCGCCACAAACCCTTCTGCCCGCATCTGGCTCCAGATGCTGACCTCTGAGGGCTGTTCTGGGCGCAGGTCTCACCCCTGAGCAGTCCGCCTGAAATACCCAGCTTCCAGCCCCAGGAGGGAGGAGGCCCCTCTTCCCCAAGACCTTGTAGGGCTTTTTTCCCCTGTGAGTCTTGCCCAGAACTGAGGAAGAACCTCCAGTTTCAGTTCAGCATCCCTCCACATGGGGCAATGAGGCCCCATGGCAGGAAAAGAGGGGGTCATTTTCTCTGGGTCAGAAAGGGGTATGGGGGGAGGCATGGGCAAGAACTGGCAGCTCGGGCAGGGCAGTCTGGGAGGCTCTGCACCCCCCCCTCACCCTGGGAGGAGTGGGTGGGCACACAGGGTGCCTGGTTGCAGAGGTCACCCCCAAATCTGGGAGGAACACTGGGCCCCCTCCCACACTCTCCCACCTCCCCCTGTGCCTCAGCCAAGGTAGTCTTCACTTAGGACAGAGATATGTACTCCTTTTGGGAAAGGAGGAGAATTGCCTGGCCCCATTTTCTGGCCAGCTCCCCAGAGCCCAGATGGAGGCCTAGAGTGTCTCCAGGTTCTGAATCTCATTGAGTCTGGAGCTGGGCTCCTGGGAGGAGCAGCTCCCCACCCATCTTGGGGATGGCATTGGTGGGGGCCCTGAGAGGGGGCATATGGGTTAAGGGAAGGTCACTGAGAAGTTGTCCAGGCCTAGCATCAGTGCATGCAGGGTCCCAGACAGGACAGCTGTGCTGGAAGAAACTGCAGAGAGGCTAGTGGAAGAGAAGCGTGGGATGAGGAAGAGGTCCACAGGGTAGCAGAGTGTCCTACCATCAGTGTGTTTGGGGAGCTCTAAAGTCTCAGGAGCAGGTGGAGAGGGTACTGCCTGTGGGGGAAGCCAGGAGATGGAGTGTCTTTGGGAGCTGGTGGGTGAGAGCAGTGGCTGGGAGCTGGTGGGTGGGAGCTGGTAGGTGGGAGCTGGCTGGTAGGAGCTGGTGGGTGGGAGCAGTGGTGCCACCCCCATGCCCTCACTGCCCCCTGTTGCTTTGCAGACGGAGACCCTCCTGCTGCAGGCCGAGCGCCGGGCCCTGTGTGCCTGCTGGCCTTCCGGGCGCTGAGGACCCTCAGACACCACTGTTCTTCATCAATAAACACCTGGCCCAGCACACTGTGTCTTGTCTCCCTGTTCTGGCCACCAGGGCCCACCTGCGTCGCCCCTAGGAGTCCTTGCTTGGACCTTTCTGTGGGCTTTGGTTTCCCAGCTGTTCCATGTGGGCCGAGGCCCTCTTGATACCTGCTCCACACCGGTACCAGTGCTGAGCAGGTTGACTGGTCTAGCCAAACATGTAGACCTTTACCCACAGGCACTATGTGGTTGCTTCAAGTCTGCCTTCGGACACTTGCTCTTGCTTTGAGGCCTGGGGAGTGTAGAAGCTGGCCTCATCCCCTGGAACAGCTGTCCCAGTGCTGAGCCCCCCTCCCCCTAGGCTCTTCTGCACTGCGTTGGAGATGACTGTTATGTGAGTTCCTTAGAGGCCCAGCCAGTGGACCTCCACATAGCCTAGCCTGAGGTGGCTGCCAGGAGAGCCAGAGGGGAAGGCTCCTCTGGGAACAGAGGGCTAGCACAGTCCCCACAGCCTCCACCCAGCCCTTGGGCACCATGAAGTAGGACTCTGGGCCTGCGTACAAGTGTTGTGCCTTCGGCTAACAGGCCCACTCTCATCACATGTGTGCGGCACAGCACCAGGCAGAAGCTCTCCAGGAGAAACAGGTGACCCTCCTCCCTCCCTCCATTCATTCCGTAGATGTTTTGTATTACCAGAGCAATGCTTTGGAACATCCAGGAGCATGGTAGGGCCGTGACTTGAAATGACAGCTCTGGGACACTTGGCTTTTCTGGGGTTGCAGTTCCCTACCTGTGGCTGCCTGGTGCAACATGGTGCTCCTGTGCTGCTGCCTGGCCTCTGGTGGGTAGAGGTGGACATTTCTGGTCTGCTGCCAGAGGGGGCGGATAGCCCAGCTTTATCTTTACTGAGACCCTTCCTCCAGGCCTCTGAGCTCCACAGTATCTGCCCTGCCCTGGCTCCCGCCCCCACTGGCCTTCTAACCCAGAACCTGTTTTGTCCTCAGTGTTTTTCTGCCTAGAAGTGCCTGGCACGCACCTGCCAGTCGTTATGTCTGGAAACAGTGAACAAACCAGAGTCCAGAGTCCCACCTTGGTGGTGGTGGGAGGTTGAGCTAGATGTCTGGCAGTGATTAGCCTGTGAACTCTAAAGCAGATCAGAGAGAGACGAAGGGGCTGAAGCCATGTAAAGCTTAGGTCAGCCCTCAATTCTGGAAATGAATGGGGTACTCAGTGGCAGGGATCAGAATTCTCCTGTCCTGGGGCTCCAGAAAAAAGTGAAGTGCTGACCCGCAGGTGTCCCCTGTCAGGGCCCTGCCCAGACGGTGCTGGTGCTGAGTTCCATTGGTTGGCTTCAGTCACATTGCCATCCTTGGCTGTGGGGGAGGTGGGGATGTACCACAGTCTGGGCTTGGGTTGTCAGATTTAGCAAATACAGATCTAGGACCCAAATGAAAAGTATAAAAAGCACAAATACTTCTAGTGTAAGTACTCGTTAGTATAAGTATGTTCTATGCAGTATTAAGGACATATTTATACTAAAAATTATTCATTTATCCAAAATTTAGATTTAACTGGGCACCCTGTATTTTGTGGGCAGCCACGAGCCATGGCACAAGTTGGGGTTTCTATTACTATGCAAGATAGGGACAGCAGAGGGATGCCTGGGTGGCTCAGAGGTTGAGCATGTGCCTTCGGCTCAGGGCATGATCATAGGATCCTAGGATTGAGTCCCACAACAGGCTCCCTGCAGGGAGCCTGCTTCTCCCTCTGCCTATGTCTCTACCTCTTTCTCTGTCTTTCAAGAATAAATAAATAAAATCTTTTAAAAAATAAAATGACTTAGGTTTTTTTTGTTTTGTTTTGTTTTAAAGATAGGGTTGGCTGAGGCTTGTCTTAGAAAGCCTTTCATAGGAGTATTCTTTGGAAGGAAGTCAGAGCACAAGCTCCCAAGACAAGGCCTGGAGTGGCAGGTGGAGGATCCAGGAGGCTGATAGCATGCAGGTTCTGTCCTAGAGCTGTGATATCGCCTTCCTGCTCATCTGTAGGGAGGTTTAGTCAAGAGTGTCTCATGACTGTATGGGTAAATATGATTCTTGGCTAAGCAATGAATTGGGAATGCATTAACTTTTGGACAGCTTTAGTTTTTCCTGGACTTGATGTTTGCCTTTATGTTCCCACACTTTCTGTCTTTATCACATCCTTACCTTCAAGTCATCTCTATGCTCCCTGCCAGACCCTGGTCCTCCTGCTCCCTACTAGCTGGGTACTCCTACTGTCCACTGCCCATCTTTCACTCTTCTGGTGTGGAGTCACTGTTTCCTAGACCTCTTGTCATCCTCTCTATGCTGCATGACTTCAAGTATCTTCCTAGAAAACAGTGTGGTAATTAAACTTTCTGAGTTGGCCTGTCTGAAAATATCTTTTGCTGGCATGTTCAATTCACAGCCCCTCCTACCTTGGGGCCTTTGCACAGGCTGTCACCTCTCCATGGATTTGCCTACTTGGCCTCCTCCATGACCTGCCTCACTCTTTAGTTCTTTATCTATCCTACCTTGCTTTTTGTTTGTTTGTCCCTAAGGGATGTTAGATTTTTGATTTATTTTATTAGTTTATTTCCTGCCCCTCCCCTGCTGGATTGGAAAGCCACAGGAGGACAGGGCTTTGTTCTTTTCAGAGGTGGATAGAGAGTGGAAGGGAAGGATGGGTACTGGTCAGGGATGCCAGGTGAGGAGGTTAGGCAGTCTGAGTCCACCAGCTGCTGGCAGCCAGCGCCTGTCAGGAGCTTCTTTCCCTCCCACCCCCAGGACGTTCTTGGGATTGAAGGTCCACTCAAAGTGCTGGACAGACTTTAATCAGGAGTCTCAGTTCCTTAGCTTGGGGAAATAATAATAATCATTATTATGTCATAGTTGTTCCCTCCTCTTTCCTCTTTGGGCAGCTCCTTCAGTTGCACACTGGACTTCCCATCTGGTCTTTTTCTTTTTTCTTCCCATCTCCTGGCCTTTTGGTTCATTTCCCTGGAGACCCCTTAGCTTTCTTCCAGTGCTCCCACCCACCTCTGTTGCTTCCCAGGACTCCTGTACCTCTGACCACTGGTGAAGTTTGGGTCTCGGTCCCCAGTTCTCCCCCAGCAGGGACAAACTGGCCCTCTCCACTTCTTGGAGGAGACACCATGGGTCTGTCCCTGAATGGACTCACAGTCCCTTCCTCAGCTTGGGGTGAGAGCTTTTCTGCTAATGCACCATCCTGTGTTTGGTGCTCCCTCCCAGCACTGAGCAGGGGAGGCCCAGGACACCCACCCTACTTGACCTTTGGCGTCTAGGAAGGGTCCTGCCCCTCTTGCATGGGCCCAGACCTAGCTCTGATGGTGGGGACTGGTGGGGGAGAGGTTGGACTTGCAGGTGGTCGGGGCCACCCAGGTATCTCGGGTGCAGGTGCAGAAGGGACTCGGAGCAGCAGAAGCTGGAGGGGTGTACGGGAGAATAGACTGGGAGAAGGGATCTCCCCAAATTCACAAGCCTCGATTTCCTTGTCTGTGAAATGGATTCCTGATGTGGGCAGAGAGCGTGGGAGGTGTGGGGGGCACCTTCAGGTCACTGGGGAGGGAACAGGCTCAGCAGCAGGCCTGGGACCCTGCTGCCTGTGCAGACTTCCCTTCCCTTTAAAGGTACCCCCACTCCAAGTGCTAAAGCCCAGGTCCTGAGGTCTCCAACATCTTGTCCCAGGGGTCCAGGTTTGTCCCTTCCAAGCTGAGTCTGGCTGTCTCCTTCCCATCTCCTGGCACTCTCCAGGGCCCTCTAGACCAGGACAAGCCAAGCCATCGTGGGCAGGCAGGGGTTGGGGGGGCGGTAAGGGGGAACAGGGTAGGGCATCAAGGACTTGGGGATGGAGGTGAGGTCAGGCCACCTGGAAGAAGGGACCCCTGCAGATACAGGGCCAACCAAAGTCAGGCTGGTGGAAGCACAAGTCCTCCCCCTCACCCGTGGGCTTGACTGTTGGGGGCCAGAGGAGGGGTAGCTTTGAGCTCAGAGTCTTGGGGGGGAGGTGGGTTGGGTAATAGCCAGCAGAAGCAGTGACTCTCTAGGGGCTGGGCCACTCTGCACAGTGGGACCTCTTCACACTAAGTCTGGGGTCAGAGGTCAGAGATCAGGACACTGCCCAGGAGCTCCTGGATCCTCCACCTGGTTCTCTATTCTCCTGGCCCCTGTCACAGAACAAGAGTGTTCCCCAAATCTAGAGCCATGCCTCCCCTTCCTCTGAAGCCCCTGGACACTTGCAGATACTTCAGCCACCTCTCTCCATTCCTGTTCTTCCTGCCTGGACCTGCCTGGCTTAGCCAGGACACTTCTGCCGTCCACCTGGTCAACCTGAGGATGCCCTGGAGCCTGGTCCACTGTGGCTGGTTAGGGCTCCCGGCAGTGCTCAGGGAGCACATGGAGGGACTTCTGAATGGATCTGTGGGCTCCTTTGAGATTCACCATGATTTCACATTCCTCTCCAGGAAGATAAGAGCCAGGTCCCAGACAAATCCTGGCATCTGGGAAAGACGGTGCGGGGTGACTTCCCACTTTGGCTGCCCCCTCCCACCACGGTCCTTGCACTGGCCGTCTGGCTGCGGACCGTTCAGCTCCGGGGTCTGGAGTTCTCACTCTGCCCAGATCCCTTGGCGTGACGCTGGCGAGGGGTCGTCCCCTCTAGATAATCGTAGCTGCCTCGCCGGGGGCTGAGGATCCTCTAGGTCTCGACTCTAACCATGCGGATGTGGTGAACTCAGGTCCGGGCTGCCCCGCGGGGTCATCACGGGGAAGGGGTGCACTGCAAGCTGCAGGGGGCTGGGTTCATAAAGTGTTAGGGGAGGGATCTGGGATTCCCTGTCCCCCACCCTCACCCTCCGCCCCTGGCCCGCAGCGTCGGCAGGGCTCGCAGGGACCTGGAAGACTCAGCAAGAACATCCCCCCCCCTCACCCGCACCTGCACCGAGATCGTGGAGCGCATGCGCGGGCCAAGGAGGGCGGCGGGGGGGGGGCGGCCGGGAGGGGTCCTACCAGCCCAGCGCCCCCGGTGCCCGCTGTGGGAATTCGGTGTCTGAGCGGAAGGTTGCCGTGCTGCGCGCGGCCGCGGGGGGCTGCGGGCGACCTGGGCATCAGAGCCCGCCCAGACCGCATACCCGCGCGTCCAGCCCGGGTGGCCCGGGGCGCAGATTCCCAGGGACGCCAGGCCGGGCGTCGCATTCAGACAAAGGGGCGGGAGACGGAGATGGAGATGGTTCGGTGACTGCGCTCGGAGGCCGAAGAAGAGGAGGACACGGCGCCGCGGGCCCCAGCGGCCCGGCCCCGGGACCGGGAGCTCCCAGGCCCCCGCGGAGGGGTGGCGGCGCGGGGGTGCAGGGGCCGGGCAGGGGGCACCCCCTCCGGGCCGGGAACCTCGGTCGCCTCGCGGGGCTCTGCCGCTCCGTCGTGCCCCGGGCTGCCCGCACCAGCCCCCGCCCAGGCGCACGCCCGCTGGCCGCCCGCACCCGCCGCCGCGCAGCGCCCAACTGTGCCATCGGGCGGGCGCGGAGGCGGTATTTGCTCCCACCCCCGAGATCACATGGTGACCCTCGGCAGCCAATGCAGTGGACGCTAGGACCCTGCGGGACCCCGGGCGCCGCGACTGCACCGGCGCCGCTGCATTATAAATACTTCTCCAAAATGCGGCGCAGCTCCCTGCGCGCGCCCCGGCCGCCCGCCGCCTCCGCCCCGCGCCCCTGAGCCGCCGCCGCCGCCGCCGCCGCCGCCACCGCCGCCGCCGCCGCCGCCGCCGCCGCCGCCGCGGGTCCGAGGGCGCCGCGCCCTTGCCCTGGGCCCGGGCTGTGCCCGCCCGCAGCCCGGCCCGCGTCCCCGCGCTGCGCCGCCCGGCCGGGTGCATGCATTGTGGGCCTCCCGACATGGTCTGCGAGACGAAGATCGTGGCCGCCGAGGACCATGAGGCGCTGCCGGGGGCCAAGAAGGACGCGCTGCTCGCCGCCGCCGGCGCCATGTGGCCCCCGCTGCCAGCCGCGCCCGGGCCGGCCGCCGCGCCCCCCGCGCCCCCGCCCGTGCCGGGTCCCCAGCCCCGCGGCAGCGCGGGGGGCGCGGGCCCGCCGGGGGGGCGCGGCGTGTACATCCGCGAGTTCCGCGCGGCCGAGCAGGAGGCGGCGCGCCGCATCTTCTACGACGGCATCATGGAGCGCATCCCCAACACGGCCTTCCGAGGCCTGCGGCAGCACCCGCGCACGCAGCTGCTCTACGCCCTGCTGGCCGGTCAGTGCCCCCGCCTGCCGCAGTCCGCGCCCGCCCGCCCCGCCGGGCACCGACGCACCGGACGCCCTCAGCTCGCTCGCCCCGGCCGCGCTCCCCTGCTTGCCCAGGACTCAGCCCGGGAGGGGAGCGGGGCCCGTCTCGCCCCCCCTCCCCCGCCTCCCCCCGACCCCCTTGCTCGCGCACCGACGCGCACCCGCACGCCACCGGCTTTCTGCGGCGGCCTGGGGCGAGGTGGCACCGGCGGTGGCATCCGGGCTCCCGGCCAAAGCGCGCCGGGTGGGGGCGTGGGAACGAGCGGGGCGGAGGGTGGGGGGCTGCGGGCGGGGGGAGGGCCGGTGTCCCCACCTGCGTCCCCTCTGGTCCCCTTCTGCGCGGGCCCCGCCTCTGCGGCCCCTTCCCAGGTCATCGCGGGTGGGGGCGGGGTGGCGGCAGGTAGCGCCCGCTGCCGATGCTCCGCGCCTGGCGCGTGTAACTATATATAATCCACGGGGCGGGGGAGGCTGCCTCCGAGGCTCCAAGTGCTAATTTATGAGGGGAAGACTGCCAGCTCCCCGGGGTGCCGGGGGAGGGTAAGCACCGACAAGGCAAAGCAAGGGGGCCACGGGGGGCGGGCAGCCCCCGCAGGAGCTTGGAGGCCTTTGCCGGGGCCCCAGGAAGGTGGCTGTTCCCATTCCACAGATGAGGAGCTTGAGGCTGGGGGTTGTCAAGCTCCCAAGGTCATGCGGCAAAAGTGACTTTCACAGCAGGCGCCTCTGCCTCCTGGCTGCCTGGATGGATCTGGTAGCAATCTCCCACTTGCCTCCGTCACTCCCCCTGCCCCATAACCCTGAGGGCCTGGCCTTGGGAAGAAGGGGCCCCCTCCCACTCCCAGCGTTTACAAGGCTCAGACAGCCTAGAGGGCCTGTGTGAGCAGCTCCTTGGGTGTATGCAAAGCTCCTTCCACAGCTGGGGGACCCCATGGGTGGTGGGCAGGGTCCACCCCTTCAAGGAGCCTGCCTGGGCCTCTTGCTGCTGCCCTCCAGGGGCAGTGCTGTGCTCAGAACTTAGGGACGTTGGGTCACCCAATAGCCCTCCCTACCGTAGGAAGTTTGGCACTGGGGAGAAGAGGAAGCTGGTAGGCTGACCCATGGCTCCCACTGGGAAGACAGCTGGGGCATAGTTGGTGTGGCCTTTCCTCTGCACCCAGGTCCGACTGGCTCCTTTAGCCTGGAGCGACTGGGGGGGTGGTGTCCCTGGTCCCTGACCCCAGGGGCTTCACCACCTGCTCACTGAGGCCACCTCTCCCACCTCTCCCTGCAGTGCTCTGTTTTGCCCTGACCCGCTCGCTGCTGCTGACGTGCCTGGTGCCGGCAGGGCTGCTGGGCCTGCGCTATTACTACAGCCGGAAGGTGGTCCTGGCCTACCTGGACTGCGCTCTGCACACGGACATGGCTGACATCGAGCAGTACTACATGAAGCCGCCGGGTGAGTCCCACATGTCCCCAGCCTTTTTCTCTCCCCAATCTTTGCTCCTCCTGCCCTCTCATGCCCCCCCCCCCGGGAGAACCCCCTAGCACCAAGCAGCTCAGGACAGACAGGCCCAGGGTGGGGCTTGGCTAGTGCCCCTGGTGACCTGAACCTCCTGAGGTCACTGAGGACTTGGACAGGGGTTGGGGGTACAGCAGGCGGGCAGGGACTGGGGTGCTGGGGCAAGGCCCCCGAGCATCCACCCAGACCCTGGACCTCCGGCTTGCTGTCCCAGTGCTCTGTGCTGCCGGCAGAAGGCCCTTGCCCTGAGTTTTTCTCATCTCTTGTTGGGCCTGCTATGCTGGATTGTGGGTTGGCCTGCAGTGCCAGGGACCCGTGTGGTAGGTGCAGAGGATCTCAGGTGGGAACAGGCTTTTGGGTGGGGGTTACTGAGGGCTAGAAGAGCAAGGCTGTTGAGCAAGGCCTTCACTTCTGCCTCTGGGCCACTTAGTGACGCAGAGGGTCTCACCCAGCACCCCCCAACCCAGCCTTCCCTAGGAGGAGGGACTGGGTCTGGTCTGGAGGGGTCTGCAGCTCCCTGGGGGCTCTTCTCCACACTGACCCGGGGCAGGCTGGATTCTGGGTCACAGGACCACATGGTTTGCTTTGGGTCTTGAGCCAGAGAAGGGAGCCTCTGTCTCCGCCCTCTGGGGTGTGAGGGTCTGGTACTGGTGCTAGAGGGCTTCCAGGCTGAGGAGAGGGAGCGGTTGTGGGCTCCACAGTTGATGAGGGTGTAGGAGGAGCCTGGTGAGTGCCAGCAGTGGGCAGCTGGGACGAGAGAGGCAAGGCATCCCAGAGTAAGGGTACCCTGCTTTGGCACAGCCAGTTCCCATGCCCACTGGCTCCATCCAGGCTGGCCCTGCCCTGCCCTGCCCCTGACTCCACCCCCATCCCTATCCCAGCAGCTGCCTGGCCAGCCTTTGGCACCTTGGGCTCTCCTTGACACTTTTCTAAGCTTGAATTCAGCTTATTGTCCTCCATGGGATCGTGGTGTCAGCCCAGCTCTGCCCAGGACAGGGGGAGCACAGGGGTAAGAGCCACCTAGCTGGCAGCCAGGTTCAGGCTGCAGGAGCAGAAGAGGGCTCAGGTGGGGAGTGTGCTGTGCTGTTGGTTCTGTTCTTTTGGGGCTACCGTCTCCCTGGGTGTGAGTGTGGGGGCGCTGCTTGTCCTCCAGGGATGTCTGGCAGGTTGCAGGAAGGTGCCCCGGGGACAGGGAGGATGGACCGCACCGATGGTGCCATGATGCTCAGGGGATAGTCTGGCCAGGGTGTTGGGGAGATCCAGAAGCCCTGGATGGTGGGCAGGTCAGCTGGTGGAGTGTCCATCAGGGCAGCAGGTCCTCAGACGTTTCTGAGCCCTGGCGACATGTCACTTCTCAGGGTATGGCAGTGAAGGAGATGGGAGGCTCCCTTGGCACACAGATGGGCTGACGGGGGCCTACCCTTGGGGTGGGGTAGTGTGATGTCACTGGGCAAGGTCAGGCGCAGAATCTTTACGGGGGAGACCTGCCACTCAAGGAGAGAAGGTGGGGGTGGTTGGTGGCAGATACGGCCATGGGGGCTGGCGTGGCCACAGGCAGGGCGAGTGCAGGTGCAGGTGGGGGTCCTCAGAGTGGTTACTCCTGTTGGCCAGCCCCTGCCTCCTTGGGCCTCTGGGTTGGCAGTCAACAGCGGAGAGCAGGCTCTCCTTGTGGCTCATGCCTGCAGACCTCCCTTCCTGTGTTTTCTCTCTCTCTTCTCTCATCCCCCTTTGCCCTGCTTTTCCTCTTTTTGCCTCTCATGGGGCTGTGATTGGTCCAGGCCGTGGGTGGGGATGGGATGGCTGGCCTGGCCACTGGGCTCCAGCCCAGGAGAGGCCAAGGTCAGTGGGAAGTATGTGGTGGTCCTGATCCAGGCAGGCCATGGGGCTCCCAGGCTCAGCAGTTCCTAGCATGGTTGACCGAGCCAGAGGCTTCTGAGATCTGAGGCCCCTGGCGACATGGCTCCCAGGCAGGTCCTGCTGCCCTGGCCCATCTTCGAGTCCCCATTGTAGGGGTCCTTCCGGAGGTGCCCTCATGGCACCTACCTCTCTCCAGCATCCTGTTGTGGATACACGGGGACCACTGTGGTGGGCCCCAAGTGGCCAGGAGCCAGGCCAGGTAGGCTGCACCTGTGGCTTGTCCATGGCCATTCAAGCATTAGTTCTGGCGGTAGCTGGGCAGAGGAGGGGTCTATTTGGCTGAGGCCTGCCCAGCTCTTAGTCCCTGGGGGAGGGACTCTGGCCCCAGAGCTCCTCTCTGCCCAAGCTGAGGCCCAGGGCAGGGGCCGCTCTGGGGCTGCCATGGGCAGTGGGCAGGTTGGGCCTGGTGCCTTCTGCTCGGAGGGCTCTGGTGGGGCAGCTGTGTCATGCTGCAGCTCTGACTGCCTTGTCCCTGCAGGCTCCTGCTTCTGGGTGGCCGTGCTGGATGGCAACGTGGTGGGCATCGTGGCGGCGCGGGCCCACGAGGCAGACAACACAGTGGAGCTGCTGCGCATGTCCGTGGACTCGCGTTTCCGTGGCAAGGGCATCGCCAAGGCACTGGGCCGCAAGGTGCTGGAGTTCGCTCTGGTGCACAACTACTCCGCGGTGGTGTTGGGCACGACGGCCGTCAAGGTGGCCGCACACAAGCTCTACGAGTCGCTGGGCTTCAGACACATGGGCTCAAGTGACCACTACGTGCTGCCTGGCATGACCCTGTCGTTGGCTGAGCGCCTCTTCTTCCAGGTCCGCTACCACCGCTACCGCCTGCAGCTGCGCGAGGAGTGACCACTGCCCACCTGCCTGCCCACCTGCCGCCCTGGCCGCCCCATCCGCCTGTGCCCGCCTGCCCACCGCCCAGACCCGCTTTCAGACGCTCACCTTGGCGTTTGTGTTGGGTTTTTCCTTTTCAACATCACGCGGTTCTCTGGCTGGTTCTCCAGGGGGTGTGGGGCTGTTGCTCATCTGTGACACTTTGGGGGCTAGATTGTTTGCAGCCACGGCCCCTCGCCCTCCCCAGCCTGCTGGGGCTGCGTCCTGAAGAGTGACAGCATGGACCACCACGTGCCCACTCAGCTGCTCAGCCTGCTCGAGGGGCCTCTTCCAGCCCAACGCTGTCGGGGCAGGCCTAGCCTGGCCCACCAAGCACAGAACCTCTGCACCACGGCCCCTGCCCAGCAGACCCCTGGCCGCCAGCCAGGCAATGGCTCAGCTGTCAGTCCCCAGGAGGTGTGGCCTGCTGGGCTGGCCAGCTACTGCCCCATGGGGCACCGAGCTGGCCATGGGCCCCGCTTTGCTCCGTGCATGCTGAGGACATGGCCTGGCTGCAGCATGCCGCATGCCCACAGCCTCCTGCCCTGCTGCCCGCTCAGACTGGGCCTAGACTGGTGAGCACCCCCTGCCCAGCCTTGGAGCTAGCCTGAGCTAGAGCTAGCCCTGGCAGCCCACCTGCTCTCTGGAGGGCTTGCCTGTCTCTCACCATCCCTTCCTCCGCCCGGCCCAGCTTTGCTTTGACATTGAGTCATGTTTCTTTCCTTTTGGTCTCTGTCCCTCCTCTGCCCCGGCTTTGCTGATTGGCATCATCACCCAGGTGTGGTTCCCATAGCAACCTGTTGCACAGCCTGGTCAGGGTCCTACAGGAGAGCAGAGGGGAGACAGTCATGCAGTCGCCTGTCCCCAGTGCCAGCTAGATGATGGTGGCCTCTCCCAGACCTCCCCGAGGACCACTCTGCCTAGCGGCTGATGGGCTCTGCCCTGTGAATCGTACTAAGCCAGGCCGCTGCCAACACCACTGAGCCCACAGCTTCTCCCAGCCTGAAACCGACCTATTTTTTTAATAAGTTATTTAGACAGAATAGCACTCTGCATGACTTTAATTCTTGGGACAAAATGGTAGTTTATACCTTAACATACACACACATACACACATACCTGTGTGGTCTAGAATATGCACTATTTCTGGCCCAGTTTGGTGGGGGCGGGTGGCTGGGTGGGTGGAAGGTTTCAGATTTTGAGATCTAGAGGGAGACCCTGATTTAGCATTCTTTCCCCCAAAAGAGCATTCCTGGGTTGTGAGGAGGCTCTGGGGAGCCCTTGTCCAGCCTTGACTTGTGCGACTGAGGCCAGGGGTGGCAGCAGATTCCCTGCTGCCTTTGGGAGGGATGAGTGCTGTCTACTTTGGCTTGGGGGTAGGGGTGGCCTGGCTGTGCCCCCAGCCTCTCCTTCCTGAGGTGGGAGGCAGCTGGCAGAAGTAGGGTGGCCTGGACAGTGGGGGGACAGGAGGGTTGGCAGTGCCCACAGGTCCAGCTTGGAGTCCTGGGCCCAGCTACAGTGGTAGGAAGGCCGTAATGCCCACAGAGGCCCCTCTGTTTTGGGAGCTGGGAGGGAGGAGGCATGGTGGGCCATGGGTCTGGGTCCCACATATGGGATGCGGAAGGGATGTTCTTGAAAAGGCACTTGGGAAACGAGCAGATGAGTGAAATAAGCCCAGTTTGCCGAGGGGCCTTTTGTGCTGTCAGCAGTTGGGATATTTGCAGAACATTGTATAGCCCCCACTCTCCCCTGTACATTTCTCCCTGGTGGCGTCCCGTCCCTGCTTGGGGACAGGAGTTTTGTAGACTGTACAGAAATCGGCACCCTATTTTCTTGCAGCTCTCAGATTTTGTTAATCTGGATTATACAGACAGACGTAAAGTGTTTTAGCAAAATGGAAAACAAACAGTTGTGCCTTTTTCCTCTTTTTGTTTGGTTTGGTTTCGGCTTGGGGCGGCCTTAGTCGGTGTGGGGACTGCGGGGGCTGTGGCTGGCCTGAGGCCTGGCTGGGCAGGAGGGGCAGGTAGGGGCTGCGCGGGGTCAGCACAGTGGGCTGTGTCCTGTCAGTGGTAGCTTGGGGACACCACCGGCTTCTGTTGATCCTGTGCCTTTGGAGCCCCTGGTCCCTGGTGTGGGGAAACATGGGTGGGGGCCGTTGGAGCCCACTGGGGGTGTGGCAGAGCCTGGGGCTCCGGAGCGGCCAGTGTCTGCTGGACATGGACCAAAGCATGTCACCAGGGCTGCTCCCCGAGATGTATGGCCCTCTCCTGTCCTGCTGGGGTCCATGTAGGGTATGGGCTTGGTGGGCTGCAGCGTCTCCCCCAGTTGGATGGCTGGACTAGTGACAGAGGGTAGTGACACTGGCTGGATTCTGCACCTTTCTTTACTGCCCTTTTGTTGCTGCCAAGACTTAGGAGAGAGGTCAGGAGGGGTGTGCCAGGGTGGCTATGTGTCTGGAGCCCTGCTGCCCCACCACTGAAGTGGCCAGGGACTCTTGTGTGCTCACCAGCTGGGTGTACCCTGTATGTGGGACAGGGCCCTTGCCTGGCTGGTGTGCAGCTATACGGGCCCCTGAGGATCACAGGGGAGCAGATCTCCCATCCTTCCCTGGGCCAGAGGCTGGCACACTAGTGGGAGATGCCCATCCCTGGCTGGGCATGTCCCTCTAGCCTGGGAGCTAACTCCTCCACAAACGTGCACTGACATGTGAATTTTATACATTTGTAGAAATTCTGACGTTACTACTTCTACCTCTGTGAAGCACCCCTGGGGTTCTGCTCAGTGATGTGTCTGGGCAGCTCCCTGCATTGTCAGGCCCTGGGACCCGACCCCTCTCTGCTGGCCTCCTGGGCTACCCCTGGTGGCTGCGGCCAAGGCCCAGGGAAAGCCAGCCCCCAGGCATGCTCAGGAGATAGGGCTCCCAGGACTTTTGGAAGCCTCTAGTTTTGGCCTGGAAATCAGGAGATGGAGTGTTCCGGAGCGTCTTCATTAGATGAGCCTGGAATGCAAACCCAATGGGCAGCTCCTGGCAGTGGGACACAGGGCAGCTGAGGGTTCTAGCACCTCCGGATGGTTCAGTGCCACCAGAGTCCTAGCATGTGGCTGGTGGGTTGTCCCTGAGACAGCTTCCAATGCCCAGGTATGGGGTCTGCAGAGAGCTGGTCCCTGAGGGTGGTGGTCAGAGCGAGTCGTCTGCGTGTACAGAGCCATATGGAGGCCCATGGTGACTGCTCACCTTTCACCTGGACCCATGTCTAGCCTGGCCTCCTGTTGCTGCCCTTGGGTGGATGGGGCAGAAAGATGGGGCCAGCCTGCCTCCAGGAAGTGGAGGGTTGGCCCTGGGAGAAGGCTTGAGTTAGGAGTCCCTACAAGTGGGCTGAGGCCACGAGGTCCCTGGGCAGCTCTCATCCTTCCCTGAGCATCCTTCCTCTGAGAAGGCCCTAAGAGGGTCCAGGCTGGGTGATGCTCCTCAGAGGGCTTCCTTGGGAGTCTTAAGTGCTTGGGAGGCTCTTTGGGCCCCAAGGAGTCATGCTGGCAGGTGAATGCTGGCCCCTGCCTGCCCCTGCCTGCCCTGGCGGTGGCTGGCATATGTGGCCTTGAGCCTTGGCCCTTGCTGAGCCGGGGCCAGGGCCGAGCAGCATCCTAGGGAGCTACCCTCCTGTCAGTGTCCAGGGACTGGCTGGACGGTGGCCTCTGAGCCTGAGGGGAGGCCCACCACCCCTCCCCAGCCAGGTGGGTGGCACTGATCTGTGTATGAAGCTGCTTCTGTGAGTCTGTCTTGGCCTCGGCCTGCACTCCCATGCTGGTGGTCCTGCAGCTGAGGCTTTTGGGGCTTGTGTTCTGGGCTGGCTGCGGGGCAGATCCTGGAATGCTTGCTCTCTGGTGCCGATGATGTGTGTCCAACGGTGGTGTGAGTGGGGCAGCCCAGGGCCTGGGGAGGAGGAGGAGGAGCCCCAACCTGCCATTGTTGGATGCATTTTTCTTTTAACAGCAATAATTAGCCATTTTGAGGAAGGGGTGTGTTTGTGTGTGTGCCTGCCTATGTGTGTGCACACACGTGTATGTATGTGTGTCTGTGTGTACACTGCCTATGCACATGTGTACACACACACATGCATGAGCACACACACACCTGTGCCTGTGTGCACACACATGCAAGTGCGTGGTGACGGGGGAACCTGGTGGCCGAAGACCTCCTGCTCCAGCCCGGAGAGGCCGGCCCTAAGCCCCATGCCAAGATGCAGGGTCCTTGTGGGCGGCCTCATCCCAGGCCTGCCCCCGGCCCCAGCAGACCTCGAACATAAGGCCACCTCCTCTGTCTGGGGGACGGGGCTGTGAGACCCAGGGAGCCTCCGCCTGGGTCTCTGGGTGTGTAGGAGGACGGCAGGGGTGGATGCTCAGAGGCAGAGTCTCCTTGCTTAGGCTGTTTGACCACGGCTGCTGTGGATGCTGTCTCCGGGCGAGCAGAGCCCAGATTGGTGGCCGGTGTCACTTCTGTGGCTCACTGTTTATGAACCCACAACCATGGCAATGGTCCTGAGACCCTAGGATGTGCCGAAACAGCCCTGGAAAGGGCCCTGCAGGGGCGAGGGAAATGGGCTACAGGGCCAGGGGTTGGGTGGGGTCCCAGGCATCCTGTGGGGTGTGAGCAGCGGGAGGGTGGGGGTGCTGTGGCCCTTCCACCTGCACGGCCCCCAGTGCTGCTGTTTTTCAATAAAACCAGAGTTGACAGAACTGGGCTCCTGTACTTTCTTGAAGCGCCCCCTCCTGGAACTTGGCCAGGAAGAGCAGCTTTCCTGGAGATGCTGGATTCCTTGGGGGCCTGGGCAGGTGCTGGGGTGACCTGTGTCGCTGAGGCTGCTGTCCCCATGCTGGCTGCTCTGGCTGGGGCCCCACCGCAGGCTGGGTCCCCACCTGTCCACTTGGCACCTCTGAGGGGTAGGGTGAAGTGTGGGGCCCCATAATGGCATCAGGCCTACCTCCTTCCTGGTGTCTGTAAGGGGGGAGGAGGACATGGGTCCAGTCTGAGGAGTCGGGTGAAGGGGCAGCTTGGGGACAGTGAGGTGCCCACATCCAGCCCTGGACAGCTCACTGCAGAGGGCCTTCCTTTCATGGGAGGAATGGCCTCGGCTCCTCCTGTCCCTTTCCAGGATTGGCCCCCCTGCCACAGGGAGGGCTTTGGGCAGGCTCCAGAATTCGCTAAGTTGAAACCAGTGTCTGCGGTCTGGAAGCCTGAAGAACCAGCTTTTGCGGGCAGCACGCTCTGACCCTCCCTGGCCTGGGGGGCACATGGTGTATTCAGACATCAGCCTGAGGCCAATCATTTCTTTCGAGTGAGACACTGTGTGAAGCCCAGCCTGAGGTGACAGCATGAAGACAGGCCATGCACATAGGGACAGGACACACAACACACACCTGCAGCTGGCCCAGCAGCAGTTCTCCACCGGCACTCCAGATTCTGGAATGTTCTATTATACCGTGGTCAGGCCTGGCCAGTATAAGGTCAGATCCTTGTACACCTCATGAAAACAATGACAATATCTTGAAGCCATGAGAAAAGTTGGCCTGAGCACAGTAAACTGACTGCCAACATCACCCAGAAAAGCAGGCTCAGCAAAGGTGGTGGTGAGTAGAACCATCACTGTGGACATGGTTGGGCGGCTCTGGCATGTGTGGACCCAGGGCTGCATCTGGGCACCTGTTGGTATCCCACTTGGAGGGTGCACCTAGCACCCAGACAGGGAAGCAAGAGGGAGGGGAGACCCTGGGGGTGCCAGGATGGCCTGGACAGGACCCTGTTGGCAGGGAGGCAGCAGAATGGAGGTACAGTCCCACCTGGTGCACTTACTACCCAAGTGGGCTTGTACAGTGCTGTGAGCTTTCTGTGCCTGTTTCCCCACAGTGCAAGGGGGGACCATGGTGGCCCTCACAGTGGGCTGTGACGTTGTCAAGGTGCATGGTCTGGGCTCTTGGCACTGGGGTTCTGAGAGAACCACTTTGAGAGGAGAGTCAGGGGGGCTGGCTGGCTTCCAGGGACTGGTCGCTGGCTGGCCAGGAGGCTAGTGCACAGGCAGGGGGGCCCCAATGAAGATGCAAACACCGGCACACAGGCACCCCTGGCCTTGGGAGGCTTCGGCTGTGAGCACAGACCCAATGCCTGCCCTGCTGTGTGCTCTCTGAAGTTCACCGCTGCCATGGGGCAGGACCTCAGCTTCGAGAAGCTCAGGGAGCCAGTGGGGAGGGCCTCCAGGCTGCTGGCAGCTCCTTGGGCACCCACTAAGGAACTCACCCACTGGAGGAACCCACCTCAGTCTCCAGGGTGGCAGGGCTGGGAGCGCCTGCTCTGGGCCAGGTCGGGCCACTCCTGTTTCAGGCGCTCCGTCCTGGCTCTGGTTGAGTAGATCAGAGCCGTGGACGTGGCATCTCCTACCGCGGGAATAATTCATTTGGACAGAAACTCGGCTGGCTTTGAATAAGGCTTTTACTGCAAGGGACAAGCCAGGGGGTGGATGTGGCCCTCTCTACGTCCTGCTTTGGCGGGGGCTGGGGGTGGGTGGGTGGGGAGCCAGTAAGTACCAAGCTCCCAGTGCTGACCTTGGGGAAGGCCACACAATGGACTGGTGGAAACCAGTTCTCTTCCTCCCACTGTTGCCTGGGGCTACAGACAAAATGAAGGAGAAAAATGCGCGCACCGGGGGTAGGTGCTGACAAGGGGGCTGGCGGTGGCTGGGTGGTTGCTTGGAGACTCAGTGAGAGGTGGACTGGGCCAAGGGCCTGAGACCTTCTGCAGCGGCACCAGGTGTCCCCACGAGGGGCCGGCACTCAGGCTCACCTTCAGGGGCACCTGTGGGCAGCAGCCCAGGTGAGTCCCAGGCCTGGGCTAGCCCTTCCTGGCCCTCCCCGGTCCACATGCAGGCGACTTGTGCCCACAATGCCCAGACAGCCACCTTGCCCACAGCGCACTGCCATGGATGGATGCACACATGCTCTGGCAGTGACAGGCAGACGGGCTCACCCCACATCTGCCCCGAGTCATAATACCTCAACCTTGGCTGAGCACCACACCTGACCTGCCAGGGCCTCTGCGCCAGGGAGCAGGCCTGCCGGGGCTGGGACAGGCAGAGTGCCTGACCTGTGCTTGCCACCTCAGGGCCCTGCTCCCTAGGGGGTCAGCAGGTTCTGATCCAAAAAGGGGCCAGAAGGGGACCTGGAGAGCCCTCCCAGGGACCCTAGCCCTGAGCAGGACCTTGCCAAGGCCCCTGGCCCAGGCTCAACAGCTCTCTCTTGACAGGGAGGATGGGCGCTGCCTGCCACCTGCGGGACTACAGGTGGGGTGGGGACTGCAGGGCTTGCGGGGCCTGCAGGGACCCTAGGGCAGGTGGGGGAGGGCAGCAGTCTTGGGGCTCCAGGGCTGTAGGCAGTCTGGAGCCATGCCCTGCATCCCCACTTTCCTGCCCCTTGGGAGATGGACTCGCCTACCCCTTCTGGGTGGCTCTAGCTGGGAGTGGCCAACTTGGAGAAGCCCCTTCCCTTCTCACCTGCAGCTGTAGCCCAAAGGCCCGCACGTATTGCAGGGACTCCATGGTGCCCCTGACAAGAGCTGGAACAAAGGTAAAGGAGGGAGAGGGATAGGCCTGAGCCACCTGGGCAGAGGTGGGGTCACAGGAATGCCCTGCCCTGGTCTCCCTGCTCCCGAGTTATCTTTCAAGTCCACAGGATCAGCTGCATTGCTGGGTGTGCAGCCCCCACATTACTCTGGGGCTGGTTCCATCTCTCTCTGGCCACATCCCTAGCACAGGCCTGAAGGCACCTTAACTGCACCAACCATGGTTCCCGGGGAGCAAGTTTCTCTGCTGGTCAGGTGGGGCCTCTGCTGGTCAGGTGGGGCTGGGGCTGGGCACCATGCTAGGGCTTCCAGCTCTGTCCAGAGGCTCTGGGGCTGGGAAAAGGAAGGGGGCACAGGGCCACCCTGGCTGGAGCAGCCAGGGCAGGAGGACCCACGCTCCCCACCACAGTCCTCATATATCTGGGGACTCGCATGTCAGGGTAAAGCCCGGAAGGGCAGCTCTGTGGTGCCAGTGGGTTGATCCTGCTATGCGGCCTCAGTCACCATGGGACAGTTGTTCCTGAGCCCTAAGAAAAGGGCAGCCTGGGGAGGGGAGGGGTCAGCTGGTTCCATGTCTCAGACTTTGCTCTGAACTCTTTTGCCCTTTGATCAATAAATATTTCATTCTATCCTATTAAGTTATCTGCAATGCTCAATACAAAGATTGTGACAGATCCCATGAACGGGTGGGTGCTGCCTTGTTCTCCCCTCTCTGGTTTCGGGGTGAGCTAGCCAATGCCCTGGGGAATGGGTCTCCAGGTGCCTAGAGTGGGACACAGCTACCCTAGGGCCATGCACCTGAGCAACATGGTCTCGTTTCCTTCTCTGTGCTGTGCAGAGAGCAGCAGCAGAAGGCCAGAAAGCTGGTGCAGAGGCTGTGGTGTAGGGTTGTAGGGTCACTGGAAGGGCTGCATGGCCCCCAGCCCCTCTGGCCTGATGTGTGGACCAGGAGCCCTGCAGAGGGGCCATGGCCATGCTGGGGAGCTTCAGGGGTGTCCAGGTGCTTCTAAAGGGCAGAAGGCAGGACCTCGCTGCCCCTCACTCTACTGGACAAATACCTGCTGTGAAGGGAACCACTCCACCCGAGGATGGAATTGCCTCTGTAGGATGGAGTCCCCTCTATAGGATGGCAATCCCACTAAGGATGAAATCCTCATTTAGGATGGAGTCTCTCTATAGGTTAGAGTCCCTATTGTAGTATGGCGTCCCTTCTGTAGGATGGGGTCCTCTCTGTAGGACGGAGTCCCCTCTGTAGAGTGGGGGTCCTCTCTCTAGAATGGGGTCTTCTCTGTAGGATGGCAACCCCATATAGGTTGGAATCCCCTCTGTAGGATGGAGTCCTCACTCTAGGACCGAGGGCCATAAGGCCAGCAAGTCCAGAATGGGAGTCCCCATCATCTAGGAGCCCTGATGCTGAGGCAGACCCCACAATGGAGCATTTGATGTCCCTGAGGGCTGCTGGCCAGGATAGGGTATGTCCACTCACTATGGGGCAGGGAAGTGGCCTTGAATTCCTGCAAGAGGCAGGCACCAGCCAGACACAGGGGAGCCACATTAGCCCTCCGTGAAATAAAAGCCGTTTTGTGCCACCCAGGCTCACCTGCAAACTCTGGAATCTGTGAATCTTCCACCTCAAATAGCAGCTCATCATGAATTTGGGCGACCAGCCTGGAAGACACAGTGGGGGAGGTAGTCACCCTGAGATGTGGTATCTGGGTTCCATGCTTTGCACAGCAATGGGGACACATGGGGTGCCATAGAAGGTTGTGGCATAGGGTGCTCTAGAGGGTGTGCCTTGGTGGGGAGTGAGAAGATCCAAGAGGATCCCTGGTGCCTGGGGTCACCTGACTGTCACCAGGACAGTCTCATGAGAATAGGGAAGCACAGGTTAGAAGTGACCCCAGCTCCCCTAGCCCCTGCCTTTGGCTCCCATCATAGGGGGCACCTGGACCCCCAGCCAGGTCTGGACATAAACTTCTTCCCGGAGTTGAGGCCACCGATCCTAGAAAGTGGCTGCTCATGGGTCCTGGCAGGGAGGCCGCCTACTATCTGGGTACCTTCCTGCAGCACCTACCTAAGCAATGCTGCCCCTGAGACCTTCCTTTCCCCTCTCCAGCTTTGGGCCTAGGGGCTGAGCTCCATGGATTCCATCATAGGCTCTCCAATGGGTGACCCTTCATCTAAGACTCTTCAGGTAACCCTGGAGGATGGCTGTGGTAGATGAGGCCAGTTGTGGGAAGAGGTTTGAGGACAAGGTGCCAAGGGTCAGGAGTCTCTGGAGGGCTTAGGCTCCAGTGACAGGGGCTAGCAAGTGCAAATGTGTGCAGAAGGAGGGAATGGTGCATGGGGGGACACCCCAGTAGCTCCATGTTGGCTGCACAGAACATGGCTGTAGTTGGATTGGCCGGCCCACACCAGACTTCATGTGTTCTGTCCAAGGTGGGATCTGGGTTGATTTTTGTGGTTTGGGCAGATGACGGCTGCCATGGGCTGTGGCCATGGACCTGGTGCCAGCCCTTCTCTCAGGGCAGAGGAAGGTGGCTTGCTCTGTACACTCAGGGAGGTGAAGTATGGTGCAGGTGACCCACAGGAAGGATGCTAGACATCAGGGAGGGACCTGTGTGCTCTGCCCTCTGTGTGACTTGTCTCCGGGACTGGGCCTTTGAGGTCAGAGACCAGATCCGGTCCTTGTCATTTTGTAGGCACAGTGCATAAGGGAAGAGGTGGCAGGCAGACTTCCCTGTTTGGCAGAGCTGTGGGCTCAGGGCTGCCCAGGAGAGGTGTGGTGAGGCTCCCTGTGCAACAGCCACCTGGGCAGCAAGCCCAGGCTACAGAGAGGGAGTGCTCTTCCAACTGCAGAGCAGAGATGAGCTCTGCTGCCACTTTCAGGGGACACATGGCCAGGCTGCAGAGCTTCACAGAGGTCCCGCCAACCCATTCCTCCTGTCCCTGCTAAGAGTGGATTTGCAGAACGCCCTGGTTGCCCTGGAAGTTGCTCCGTACTGCGCTCTGGAAGCCGGACCAGGCTGGTGGCACGGGCACCCGCTGTCTTCAACTGACTCCACAGCCTCTGGTGGGGTCTTCGTTTTCAAATGGGCAGAAACTTAGAAGAGGCCCTTGTAACTTCTTTCAGATTTAGCAGAATCTGTCTTCACACTTGAAATGACGCTGTGAATTCTGAGCCACCAGTGTGGCAGCAACCTAAGAATAGGCCTGAGTTGTTAGTCACTTACACAGCACACAGAGTGCTCACTGCTGACTGCGACATTCCCTGACCTCGAACTGGGGCACAGACAGAAGAGGAGCAGAGACGCTCTGTGTGAATATCAGACCTGCTGTTTTGGGCAAGTGCGCTGTCCTCTGTTGATGCTCCTGTGAGGGGGGTGCTCCAGCAGAGGCCTTGGCACCTCGCCCCTGGCCTGGCTCTGCATCCTTCCTATTCCACTCCCTCCTGGCTTCAGGAGCAGGCCTGGGGCTGCCCTGCCCACTCACAGTGTCTAGGCTCATCCAGGCCGTTCCTCACTGTTTGGCTGAGTGGGGCCTCTTACCTTCCCTGGGCCCCCAGCACCTTCTCTGCTCTTTTCTGAGGTGGGAGATTGAGTGCCCCACAGTCATGAGCATGACCTGGCTGCACTGCAAGGTGGTTAGAGGTCAGACGGCTGCCCTAGTGGTGAGCAGATGATGTCATTTTCCACAGACCACCCCACATCTCCCCTGCTGTCCCTGTATCCAAGGGCAAAGGAGCAGGTAAGGGTCTTTAGGAGGCAGCCACTGTCCAGAGCAGGGGAACTGGGAGGCTCTCCTGGTTCTCTCGGTGACAGAGGCACAGCATGAGCAGAAGCTGCAGCTCTGCAGCTCGGGTGGAGGCCCAGCACCAGTCCAGCTCTGCATGGATTTGGACACATGTAAGGCTTTGAGCCTCAGGTCCCCCTTGTCTACACTCATGGGTTAGAGCCAACCATCTCTGAAGCTTCTTTCTAACTCTGACATGTTCTGAAACCTAGAAAGGCCTTTTCACAGAGGCCCCAAGTTCTGAGAGACTGAGAGGGGAGCCTGCCTCGCCTGGCAGCAATGGCCCCTGAGTGCTGACCGTTCAGCCAAAGACTTGCTGGAAGCTCCCTGCCTTTTTGCTCTAGGCCTAGGGGCAGTGAGTGGAGCCTGGCCTGTGGCTCCAGCTGATGAGGGTACTTGGGGCCACTGGATGAGGCTGTCTGGGCACTTGTTCCCTTTGGACAACCATGAGCCTCTGGTGATGCATTTTGTGCTCCTTCAGGCAGATAGACCCTCACACTTGGCTCATGGTGGCCGATTCTAAACTTGATCCTAAACTTCTCCTATTACCCCGGGAAGAACAGAGCAAGTATACTAAACACAGAGTAGGAAAGGCCCCAGTATTCCACACCAAACTGCTTTAGTTCTAAAACAGTACAACCTATTTGCTATGGAAAGCATTTCCCAAAGACAGTGAAGCCTGAAAGAGGGGCAGCTGGGTTGCCAAAGCCCCGGGGGCAGGAACTGTTTGTGCTCAGCTCTGGACTCTGTCATCTAAGAAGACCCCAAGTCCTCACGTACCAACTTCCTTTATCAATCCCACAAAACCCCAAAATGGATCAGACTTCTCTAGACATACGATATCACAGATATGGAACAACCATGCAGGTTTCGGTTCTGGCCAAGGTGATGAAGTAGCACAGGCTGCTCATGCCCCCTCCTAAATATACCCTATAGAAAGCACGCTCAGATGCCTGCTCCGCAAGGACCCTCCCTGGGCTGCTTCTCCCTGGTAGGCAGTAGGCATAGGCGGTGCCTGGGGCACGGGCTGTGGACAGGATGGGTCTGCTCTGTGGGGCCTGGGGATAGTCCTCTCCCTACCCCTTTACTAGGATGACACCCAGTCTCCAGCAGGGCCTTTGTCCAGTGCGCTTTTCTGTACAAAACTGCTGGAATTGCCAAAAGAACACAGGCTCAAAAGTCAAAATGAACTTCTTTCAAAAAGAAATCCATGGAGAAGGTGCCAGGAAAGATGAAGGACCTCAGATAAACAAGGACATCGTGCCTTGAGAAGGTAGAACAGTATCGAAGCCAAGACGAAACTGTAACCTCAGATGGAGAAGGGTCCAGAAGGGCAAGTCACCTCCCCAGGTAACGTAGGTGCATGACCTCTCCCTGCCCCCAGGGTTACAAGCTGGAGAATCAGCTGCCCGATGCTGTCACCTGAGGAGGGCTTGCCTGCAGGGATAGGCCCACTGTGGCCTGCTGGAGACCACCCCAATATGGGCTGATCGTGTGTGGAACAGGGAGGAAGCCAGGCCTTCTGGGCTTTGAAACACTAACTCCTCTGGGATACTTCCAGATTAGCTGCCAGCAAGGGGTCCTGGACTTCTGGAGGAGAATGCACCCCTGCCACCTGTACCTGTGCCAGGGCCTTGCATTGCTGCACACCTGGGCAGGATGTCACCAGCCACCTGGATGCTCAGGGTGTATGCCCCAGGGGGTATACCCCGAAACTGAGGCAGAGACAGAAACTGGAGAGAACTGTGACCCAGAGGCAGCCGTGGCTGAGCCCCATCTTTGAGATGCACCAGTACGCTGGCTCTGGGGGCAGGAATGGTGTCTCTATGTCCTGACTGAGGGTCTGTGGGGTCTGCCCACCTCGGGGTGGGCAGCTGCATGGGAGGTCTGGCCTCCCCACACACACCTGGGGAGATGCATTTCTGCACCAGCTGAGGAGATGCATTTCTGCACCAGCTGAGGCCTCTAGGTGAATGGCCTGTTGCTATTGCAGCTGCGGTGAGTTGGCCCTTGGGCACTTTGCCAAGCCCAAGTTGGGAGGCAGGGGCTCTGCTGGGAGTGCTGAGAGGAGCTCAGGCTCAGGGGCCCCCACCGCTTGGGGTTCTGAGCTCATCAGAATCAAGATCCATACATGGGAAGTGGCGGGTGCTGCTTTGCTCCTGGGAGGTGTGTGCACATGGGCCTGCCATGGTGTCAACTCCCACCCAAGCCCCGAGAACGGCAGGACCAGATGCTGGGTCAGGCCTGGGCAGGCTGGCCACTCATTCACTGACCTGGCTGTCAGGGTAGGGGAAGTGGCCACTGCCGTGAAGATGTGGATCATAGCCATCTTACAGAGGTCTGCGGCGGAGCCTGTGGGTACAGAAGTTTGATTTTCATGAATGATGTGAAGTCCAGGGCCCTGCAGCAGGGATTTGGCTAGTAGGATGGCCAGGTATGGTCAGTCAAGGCAGGCTGTCTTTTCTATGTTGTAGAACAGAGGACCGCATGCCCTACAGGTTAAAACAACTGATCTACCATCTCATAGTTTCTGCAGAGCAAGAACCCAACCCGTGTGGCTGGGTCCTCTGTTCGGGGCCTCATAGCCTGAGATCTGTGGGCGACCCAACTATCCTCAATTGGAAGCCCAACTAGGGAAGACTCACTTCCAAGTGACCCCAGGTTGTTAGCAAGATTCATTTCCTCGCAGTGGCATGACTGAGGTTCCTGTGTTGCGGCTGACGCTAGCTGTAGGCTGCGCTCAGCTTCTGGAGGCTGTCCTCAGGTCCTTGCCATGGGCCCTCTGCCCCACATGCAGTTTGCTTCTTCATGGCCAGCTGAAGGGCACCTGCTGTGCTGGATCTCTGACCTCCAAACCTTCTTTCAAGGGCCCGCCTGATTAGGTCACGTCCGCCCTGGGTAGTCTCCCTTTTAACTACAAATCCCCTTTTGCCACATGGCTTGACCTAACTATGGTAATGATATGATATCATATCCACAGGTTCTGCCAACACTTGGGGCATGCACACAGGGTGCAGAATCTAGAATCCCACCCACCGCACCAGCTAAGAGTGACCAGGCATGGATGTGCACTCAGCCTTCCAGCTCAGTGGACTTTTGACTTCATTTTGCTCAGCTCCCCAGTGGATAGCTTGGGGCTATAATACATCCTACTAGATTCTGGAAGGGATAAATCACACCTGTCAGGCATCTGATCATCCAAGACTGTGCTGGGCACTCTGCAAGGTGCTGGAGAGTGTAGGGACATGCCCAGTCCGGTACTGGGCACTCAGCAGGTGTCTTAATAAAGGGTTTCGGGGGATGCCTGGGTGGCTCAGCAGTTGAGCATCTGCCTTTGGCTCAGGGTGTGATCCTGGGGTCTGGGATCAAGTCCCGCATCGGGCTCCCTGCAGGGAGCCTGCTTCTCCCTCTGCTTGTCTCTGCCTCTCTGTGTCTCTCATGAATGAATAAATTAAAAATCTTAAAAAAAAAGGGCTTTGCTCATGGGAATGGACTGAAGTTAGGTCTCATTGGTGGTTTGAAATTGCTTTAGTTGTCTGTGGTTCCCAAGGTTCATGAAGAAATGAAAACTGTTAGTCTGTGGACTGGCCTTCCTCCACTGTGAGGCTAAGTATCCACGATAAGGTGTCCTTTTCCTAAGAGTGTAGCAGTGATGCTGGATGCGGAATTCTGGCCTCTGAGGCAGACCTGCTGGCGGTGAGGAGAGTCTCAATAGGGATGGGAATGTGCGCTGGGGTGGGAGGTTGGGAAAAGTGCAAAGGGCTGGAGAAACAAGGAGGGGAGTGTGGGGGGAGAGAGAGGGAGTGCATGCGGGGGAGGCCCAGGGAGGTGGGCGTGTCATGGTACATCATGTTGGCTGATGTGTCAGAGGCAGAACTTTCTTTCGGGCACTGGCCACTGCTTGTCCCTGGCACCTAGTTCAGCTCACACAAGTTTTTAATTTTTTTTTATTCATTTATGATAGTCACAGAGAGAGAGAGAGATGGGCAGAGACACAGGCAGAGGGAGAAGCAGGCTCCATGCACCAGGAGCCCGATGTGGGACTCGATCCCAGGTCTCCAGGATCGCGCCCTGGGCCAAAGGCAGGCGCCAAACCGCTGCGCCACCAGGGATCCCCGCTCACACAAGTTTTTAAGTTGATGGATGGCAAGTCACTTGCTCAGAGATACATGTGTGCAGGAGGCCGTATCCATGGTAGCTGGATTTCATGGCCAAGACTCCTAGTCGGCTTCTCACATGAAGATATCTTGTGTGCAGTTCCCTCTGGAAGGGCTCTACCACAGCTTCAACATGACTTTGAGCATGCCTCGCACACGTCTCATGAACAGATACGTGGCCACGGCCTGACAACTGCCTCATTGTGAAAACCCACCATCTCAGGATTTGGAGGGCTGGCACTCTCCTCTTGTCTAGGTGGTCACAGCAGGAGACTGGACTCAGGAAGACTCTATACTGAACCCAGATTCTAGCAATTGTCTTGCCAGCTGCTGCTGAGCCTCCTGTTGTCCCAGCAATGCCCAGAGGCTGAGTCCAAACTAGACAGTGCTGCTGTGTCCCACTCTCTGCAGGATTTACGGGGACATGATCTCCATCCTGCCCTGATGCAGGCCACCCACTCCACATCTCCCAGGGTCCCTGGCTGCCCTCCTGCCACAGAACACCCCTCTGGGGGCATGTGGTGGAATCTTGCCTTCAGGCCTCATGTCTGGGCCCTGGGTCCTCGGTTTCCAATCTATGACCTATGGGGTCACTGACAGGATGACACCTGACCACTGGGCTGCCTGGGGCCTCCCTGGAACAGCTCGTGGCACACGGAATGTGGAGCTTGTGATTATACTCTCCCTCTTCACCTCTCTGCTGTGGCTAGAGATTATGGAGAAGTCTTCACAATGGGGGTGGACAATGTGCCGTTACTCCTTCCACTGCCTGCTGCTGATGGCTGCATGACCCAGAAGGGCCTGCTGGGTCTGGCAGCCTTACTGCCAGGTCTTACTCTGCCAGACATGTGGGGCACAGCAGAGAGCCCGAGGCCAAGAGGCCAGGGACTAGGCCCTGCCCTAGTCCTGGCTACATCAACTCCTAAAGCCTCAGCTTCCTATTCGTAGAGCCAGGATAGTGGTGCTTGAGGGAAACATCATAAAGACCACCATGTGCTGAGCGCCAAGAGCTATTTCACTGGTGCTTCAGTGAGCCCAGGAATATCATCAGGATAATCTGCTGGGTGTCACTCAGCCCTGCAGCAGCTAAGAACCCAAGAAGCAAATGGACACAGCAGGCAGGCTAAAGGACTCTGTGTACCTTGCACCACGAAGTTCACCGCCTGCCGCTCTGCTTGTGCCCGGAGCTGCTGGTCTTGGTCATGGACCCTTGGCAGTGGTCTCCTCCTGCCCATGATGGATGCCACGTAGCCTGGGTCACACATAGAAGAGGATATGAGGCAGGAATAACAGGCAGTGGGGTTCCCTGGTGTTTCCATCCTCTGTGGACACAGCTTCCCTCTGGTTGGGCCCAGGGGCCCCAGCAGGACCCCCTCCTCACTGCAGCACTGAGCTTTGCCCAGAGGCACCTTGGTCTGTCTCTGGGGCGAGTGGATTCTGTGGTGGGAAAGCTTGCCTGGTGGCTCTTCTTTCTGACTTCTGACAGAGGACGGGGAAGGTACTTTATAAAGGTTCTTAAAAGCCACCTGTGGAACTTGGGTACAGAAGTAATTCTGGACCATGAGGCATTTGGGATGGGGAGAAAGGCATTAATCCATATTCTACTTGAGGAGGCATTGATGGTCTATGCTAGGAGCCATATTCTCACACATGGGGGCAGATCCAAGTTTTGTGGGGCCTGAAGCTTCATAATTTTGAAGTTCTCTTTCTCTTTTTTTAAAGTAGGCTCCATGTTGGGGCACCTGGGCGGCTCAAATGGCGAAGCATCTGCCTTCAGCTCAGATCATGATCTCAGGGTCCTGGGATCAGTCCTGCATCAGGCTTCCTGCTCAGAGGAGTGTCTGTTTCTCCCTCTGCCCCTCTGACCTTCTTGTGCTCTCTCTCCCCTCTCTTCTCTCTCTCTCTCTCTCTCTGTCAAATAAATAAATAAAATCTTAAAGAAAAAAAAAAGTAGGCTCCATGCCTAGCATGAACCTGACACGGGGCTCGATCTCATGACCCTGAGATCATGATATTAGCCAAAACCAAGAGTTGGATGCTCCACAGACTGCTGCAAGGTCTTCCAGAAGAAAACAAGCAGAAACATGCTGTGTTTGCTGAGTAGATTTCTGACAGTGAGGACCTGGGCTTTATTAGGTGTTGGTGAAATTAAATTCTCCACTCAGGATTTCACATGTTTGAGGATTGGGGATTGGGGAGACCCTAAGAATTTCCCACAAATGTCATAATTATCAAAATGACAATGTTTTGAGCACCCGTTGTATGCCAGGCAGTAAGAGAAAGCCTAATAGTGACTGGCAGTGAGGACAGGGAGAGTCCATGCTTCTGCCTGAATATACTTCAGTCTCTGCCTCTTGGTGTGTCTAGTGATTTTGGGCTGGATGCTGGGTATTGTGTGTTTTATGTTGCTGAGCATTGGTTTAGAGTCTTTATTTCAAGAGTGTTTGTTGGACCCAAGTAATTGGCAGATCTGATGCTTTTGTTAGGGCAGGTTTGGAGTAGCCTTTAATTAGGGCTAGTTCAGACCTACTACTAGGGTGTGGTCCTTCTGGGGTCTCTCCTGACTGTCACAGATGTCCATGAGGACTCTCCACTCTGGGAGTCAGAATGTGCACATGTCTAGCCCTGTACGGACTCTGGGATTGTCCCGCCTACTGCTCCATTTGGTGGAGCTCCGCCTCAGTGTGTGTGTCCTGGTGCTCAGACACAGAGGGAATCCTCTTAAGATGTGTGCAAAGCGCCCTCCTCTCTGATACTCCCCAGTCCTCCCCAGTCCTGAGGCCTGTCTCCTTAGCTTAGTGAGACCACCATCATTGGCTTGGTTTCCCCTCCTGCATGTGCTCCGGGGTGCTTGGAGGCTCTCAGGGATGAACCCAGTGTCTGAAAACAGCTGCTTCATCCATGCCCAGTTTTCTAGTTGTTTATTGTGGGAGGAGGGTCTGAGCTCAGGCCCAAAGTGGAAGCCCCTGGCTCCACACATTTCAAATCTTGCTTCTGCTCTACCCAGTGTTTGCAGGGCTGAGGTCAGAGTTCCTGATAACTCTGCGAGATGTCTCCCATCCCTCCCATGAGTCACTATGCTCAGGAAGGGGGCCAGGGGATGGAAGGAATGCTTCTAGAAGCCATTCCTATGCCAGCATGGCCAGCATCCCTCAATCATTCAGGGAAAGAGTGATAAACCAAAAAAATATCTGCACTGAAATCCAAATTAAATGAGTCACTGACTCGACTTCCCCTTAGCTGGATCCCAAACTGGCTGTGGCCACTCTGATGCCCCTTGGCATAGAAAGGAGGGGCTGGGGTGGAGGAGGCAGCCTCTCAGTCGATTGCAGTCAAAATGCCTTGCTTTTGCCAATTTTATAAAGGACCAGACGATATGCGCAGCTTGCAGGGCCTCTCCCCAGGGCCTTGGAAAGGACTCCGGACCTACCTATCATCAGCACCCTGGTAGATATACCTTGTGTGTCTGCTCCAGCCCCAGTAAAGTCAGGCATGCCCATGCGGAGAGCTGCCACCCACACCTGGGACCTGAGCCCTGCTCTAGCCAGCAGCTGATGCTGCCTCCTTGCTGTGTTCTCCATCCATCCCACCTCAGACGCTGGGCTGAGACCCTGACACTTCAGACTGCTCCAGGGGTACCGGCTCTGACTTTAGCTTCTCTTGTTAATCTATTTCCCATGCTTGAGGACCGATTTGTGCAAAAAAACCCCAGCCTCTTCCTGTGGCATGGTGTGCCACACAGGGTGCAGGCCTGCTGGCCTTGTCTCTGGCCCTGTGCTTCCCCCAGCCGCCTGCCCACCCCAGTGCTGCTCCAGGCTCTCCCGGCCTTTCACATGGTGGCCTAGAGGTCACCCCCAGCGAGGCTGGGGCTCATACTGCTCTCCAGGGACCTCCCTCCGCCACTCTCTGTACTGGCATCCTGTTGGCTTTTTTCACACTGAGAATCCCATCATTCTGATCCTGTCCGAATGTACTTGCTTACCCGGTCTTCCTGTCTGCTCTTGGATGGAATCACTGGCATCAACACAGTGCCTGAGCCTCAACAAATGTCTGTGGAAGATTTTAATGATCATTTGAGGATTTCTTCAGTGTTTGCCCAGAAATGTAATAGCCAGGTTGTAGGGCATGCATACCTCATGTGTGGCCCTTTAAGAGTTGAGTATGAGGTGGCAGGGAGGGTGCTGGCTTTGGGCCTGAGCTGCCTGGGGCAGGATCCTGGCCTGGTACCGCCTGTTAGCTGTGTGAATGTGAGAAGCTACTTAACTTCTTGGTGACTCATTTTCCTCATCTGTAAGATGGGTAAAGGGTACTACCCAGTTGTAGAACTGCAGTGAGGATTACATGAGTTACTTTACGGAAAGCCGCTGAAATCGTGCCTGCACCTTCACAGTTCTCTGCCTATGGCAATCCTGACTCCATATACTCTCATCAACACTGGGTTCTGTTGCTCTTCTGACATTTCAAAGTGGGCAGTATTTTATTTTCCCTTTGTTGAAGGTGCGGGTTGCAGCAGGTGGGGGCTCAGCCCCCAGGTCCAGGGAGCCTGTTAGATGCTTGCTGGGGATGGAAGCGGTTTGCTGGCTTTCTTTGCAAGGGAGCTGGGCACTAAGTGTGTTCAGTGCCCACAGGGGCCCCATGTGGGGCTACTGCCTGGACACACGGTCAGGCCCAGGAAGAGCCTGTGGGAGGGCTGCCCAGGACTGCCAGCCCTCAGCAAGCCTGGCTCCTGAGGGACCCCAAGGGAGCACACCACAGCCATCAGGAGGGCTGGCCCACAGCTGTCCCTTCCATAAAGCCCGAGTGCCCCTCTGTACCTGTGGCTGGCTCCATTCCCAAGGTCTGCTTCCTGAATTTCTGCTCCTGCTCATTTCTTTCCTTCCCACTTCTTCATTTCTCTGTGATGCTCTCTTCCAAATGTCTTGGGTTGAATACAACCCATTTATGTTCACAAATTTATTTCTTTCCTTTTAAAATCTACTTTTAAAGTATTCCATTTCTTCTACATGAAGTGTCAGTATGGAGATCCTCTCCCTGTCATTTATTTCTAAGATGTTTGTAATGTTCTTATGACTTCTAATTCTGAGTCATTAAGGAGTGTGATACATTTTCTTTTTTTGTTTTTTAAATTTTTTATTTATTTATGATAGTCACACACAGAGAGAGAGAGAGAGAGAGAGAGGCAGAGACACAGGCAGAGGGAGAAGCAGGCTCCATGCACCGGGAGCCTGACGTGGGATTCGATCCCGGGTCTCCAGGATCGCGCCCTAGGCCAAAGGCAGGCGCCAAACCGCTGCACCACCCAGGGATCCCAAGTGTGATACATTTTCAAGCAGGTGGACAGACGGATGGCCACACATTGAGGTATGAGCTACCTTTGCTTCCCACTGTGGTCACATGACATGTTGTATTTGATAGTCTTTGAAATCTGTGACCAAATTGTGTTGAAATTTTGTAAACATACCATGTGCTTTTCATATGAGCATGTGTTCTCCACTTTTAGGTGAAAGAGTTTCTCTCTCTGCTTATCGAGCAATTTCTTTCTTTCTTTCTTTCTTTCTTTCTTTCTTTCTTTCTTTCAGAAAGATGGTATAAATTTGATTAACTAGAAACAAGCCAAATTTATTTATTTATTTTTAAAGATTTTATTTATTTATTTATTTATTTATTTATTTATTTATTTATTTATTTATTTATTATTCACAAGAGACACAGAGAGAGGCAGAGACACAGGCAGAGGGAGAAGCAGTCTCCATGCAGGGAGCCTGATGTGGGACTCGATCCTGGGCTGAAGCTGCCCAGAATCCTGCCCTGAGCTGAAGGTAGATGCTCAACCGCTGAGCCACCCAGGCATCCCCCATCGAGCATTTTCTGACTCTGAGATTGCCTCAAGCTGATCCTACTCTGGACCCTTCTCACACTGGAGCCTTGTGGTCCCATTTCACGCTCACCCAGTCCCCTCCCACATGCCCGCCAGTCCCCTCCCACATGCAGGCCACCTCCAAAGAAGCAGGGGCCAGGAGACCAGGTATGCAGTCAGCAGGGAGGGGAAGAGGGGACTGCAAAGGTTTTGGCTGCATCTGGCTCACCTGTCTGGTGACACTGGGCAATGGTTGTTTGGACAAAGTCCTTGATTTTCTTGTACTTCTGCAAAAAACTCTCCAAAAACTGGGCAGCTTCCTGCACAGTAACCCCAAGGCACGCTGCAAGCCTCTCCTTCCCTGTGTGGACAGAAACGCTCAAGATCAGAGGCAAGCCCTGGTCACACCTGTGGGGACCAGGAGAGCAAGCTGCCAGGCAGTGGCCACCACACACAGCAGTGGACCCTCGGAAGGGCCCTTGGGAGACCCTATGAGTCCAGGTCCCGGGGCACCACCCGTCTCTTCTGATTGGTCAGGATGGTGTTGGCTTAGGCTTTCCAGCTGAGTGCTCAGTGCTGCTCGGCCTAGACTGGTGCCTGATAAACATGTATTTACTCAGTGATGTTGGCTGAGTGCCCGGCAAGTACTGCTTGTAAAGTCGTGAGTGAATAGCTCTACTGCCCCCGTCCAGAGGGAGACCTGACCTGAGTGGAGGACATCAGGGAGAGGCACAGAGGAAAAGGGAAGGAAATATTCCATCACTGAATCATGAGAAAATGTACTTAGGAGCTCCCATCCTTGAAATTTTTATTTTGAGACAAACACTTCTGGTCCAGGCCACTATTTCTTTCCCAGAGGATGCAGGTATTCTTGTGAGACTGTTTACAGCAAGATCTGGTCAGGACAGAACCTCAGCTCCAGCACAGACTGCTGGGAGCAGGTGTTGAGGCCATGCTGACCTGGATCACCCACTGGAAATTCTGTGTGGCCTTGGGGCAGTTTTGTGGCCTGCCGTCAGCCCCATTTCTTCACCTAAAACTCACAAACACTAGTCCTTATCCCAGGAGCTGTTAAGGGGACATGTCTGAAGGAGCAGGATGGATGGGGCTCACAGATCCAATCTTCTCTGTGGCCAGGCCACTCTAGCCCTGGGCAGCTGATGCTTTCAGTGGTCGCACATCTTGGGGAAGCAAAGGGGCAGATGTCTGCTTCCACCGCTGGGCTAGGGAGAATGGGAAAGGCTGCAGTGGTGCCCTGTGCTCCCCAAAATCTCTCACAGCAGAGAGAGCTTGTGGAGCATCTGTCCTTGCTCTTGCCAAGCTTGCCTGACTGTCCCATGTCATTTGGACAGAAACAAACAAACAAAAAAACTCAATTTTCCCTATTAGGGCTTAATTAAGACCATGTAATAGCTTCATGAATACATTACACTGAAATAATCCATCTCTAATTCCTTCTTTCTGTGACTTTCTGATCAGTGCCCCTCTGCTACGTCACTCTGGTGCAAAACTCCATCAGCTTTCAGAAAGGAATTGGATGATGGCTGGACACCTCCAGCAGGTCTGGCTCGCGGGAACCTGAGTCTCCTCAGCTAAGTCCTTTCTCACATCTAATCTACTGTTAATCCTCGTCAGTGAATTTTTTATTTCTGACATTGTAATTTTCAGTTTTAGGATTTCCATTTGGTTCTTTTTATTTTCTGAGATTTCCTATTTTCTTTTCATTCCTTATGAGCATGCCTTCCTTTACATCCTTCAGCTCAGTTATAACAGTGGTTTTAAAATCCTTGTCTGCTAATTTCAACATCTAGGTCATCTCAGGATTTGCTTCTGTGATGGCCTTTTCTTTTGAGTATAGATCAAATTATCCTGTTTCTTCATATGTTCAGTTATTTTGGATTAAATACTGGATGTTGTGAATGAAATGTGGTAGACACTTTGGATTCTATTATGTTTTGTTCTGGATTATTGACCTTTTTTTAAAGGAGGCAGCTAATGTGGCCAACATCAAACTTTGAACTTTATTGCTTTGCAGTGGGAAGTAGCTGAAATCTCAGATCAGTCCATTTCACTTTGGCTGGGCTATTTGAAGTCTGCCCTACTTCGGCATCGTTAGGGGTCAGCCAGAGGTTTGCGCCGAGTTCATACCCAGAATTTGGGATTCTTGAGCTTCTTTGGCTCTCTTTTTTTCTGATATTTCTCCCTCACTTTCCAGATTCTCTGGTTGCTTCAAAGTATGTCCTCTGTTTCTTCAAGCAAGTAAGACTATGGACTTCTGTTGGTGTTTTGGCCGCCCATAATACAGGCTGAGGACTGTCTCTGGGTGAAGAGCTATAAAAAAGGGGAACTCACCCTGAACCATTCCTCCCTAAGGTCACTTTTTAGTACCTTTAGGTAGTACTTTTTCCCTAATTTATAGTTGGTACATGTGCTGGGACCTGCTTGGCCATTACAGAAGTCACACTTCTCCTTCTCAGTATGTATGGCTGAGAAATCATTCCTTTATTAGGTAGAGATGCTAGGATATCTGAAGAGCAGAGGTTGAGGTCCTGTGAAGAAGCCTGTTTACCAGAGGCCAAAAAAATGCAGCAACCACAAGGAAAATGACAGAGACTGGGAAAGAGATAGAGAGTCCAGTCAGTTCTCTGGATTCCTGCTCCGGTGCCCTTCCAGTGGGACTGTCACACTCAGAGGCCCCCCAAGCAGGATGGCCTTGGGTTCCACTAGCCCCTTCCACACAACTGTCCTCCGTGCTTTGGTTCATGTGATCAGGTTTCTCCCATGTGAGTCGTAACTGCCTGCAGGCTTGTCTCCCTGAGATTACCCCTGACAGTGAGAGCCCCCTTGGTGGAAGCACAAGTCACTCCTCATCTCTGAAATCCTACGTGAACACACAATGTGTTTTCCCACAGATGGCTAATTACATCGTGTGAGCATGCGCTACATCTTTAGGAAGACAATCTTCACTCCCTTTTCTCCAAGCGCTCTCTCAGCATATTTGCTAATAGTCTCTCCTCTGGTCTATAGCTCTAGGCCTTGTGAGTGCTTGGCACATAGTGGGCCTCCAGTGATGCTGGCTGGTCTAACTGGAGCAGACGTGACTACCTCTATGTGTCTTTCAGAACTGCTTGGACAGCCTGCCTAGCCTATCTCAGCCCCACTTGGCACTAGTAACTCTGTGGCAAGTGCATGAGATACTCTATGCTGCCCTCCTGGCCCATGCAATTCCTGTGATGAATGTCAGCCCGTGGGAGCAAGCACTGCACCATCCCCAAGGTCCCCTGTGGGCACACACTTGGGGATGCCTGCTGATCAAATGTGACTGGATATAGAGGCAAACTTAAACGCTGGACAACTTGAGGAGAATCAAAGGTTGAATGGACTTTAGGAGCAGGGAGAGCTCAGAGCAAGACCATCAGGAGAGGCTTCCTGGAGGCAGTGAGTCCTGATGGGCTCAGAGGGACCATTGGCAGGACTGGGCTAGGGTGCAGTTAGTTGGCAGGTGGCTGAAAGAGGGGTAGTGAGCCCATGGGTCATCCCTTTGGGTGAAGCTCCCGGGGAACAGCTGCTCTGTGGTCACCACCATTCTGGCAGGGACCACCCCACCCCCGGCAGAGTCTGGGGGAGGTGTGGGGATCAGGCTTTTCCACCCTCAGACCACTGGAGGCCCGCACAGATGTGAAGTCTCTCTTGAGCACCTTCTCTGCTCATATCACTGTTCTGATTCTCCTTGCCTGTCTCTCACTGCAATCCTCATGCTGATGGCGCCAACCCAGGCAATGCCACTGCCATGTTCCCCTAGCATTCAGAGCAGCAGCTTCCAGACCCTCAGTGGTACCTTTCATGCAGCCCATGAAAGCCAGCTGGTAGGAAGCATATGTGCTGCATTTCCAGAGGGTTCCCAGCAGCCCAAGAGACCCAACAGGCTCGCCTGGCAAGACTCTGGCCTCACACGTGGGGAGGATGGCACAGCCGTGTGCTGATGCCAGCACATGCTCAGGAATCTGCTGTCAAGCAGGCCGGTGACAACAGGAACAGCAGAAATGGAGGCTTGGGGTGGGAACCCTGTCACTGTCAGGGCTAAAAGCAGCCAAATTACTCTTTTCACTAACATCATGGCTAATGACTCACTGCTTATTTACAAAGTGGAGCTCTTTATAAAGTGCATCCTCCAGAAGGTGCCAAACCAGCAGAAGTGAAGACTGCTTTGGGTGCGTCCTGCCTTCTGTGCAAGGCTGCACTGATGGCTCTGCACACTCCCGCCCATCCCTCTCTCCCAGCTGGATCCAAGGTGGTGGCCCCACTACTGCACACAATGCTCGTCCCGTAGCACTATGTACTGGTTTGCACTGAACTAAGGGGCACCCAGGGTGACAGCCACCACCCCAACAAGCCTACCTTCTCACTGACGAGGAGGTGACTGGGGCAAAGGGGGTGGAGGGCTCTGTGGAAGGTCACAGGTCCAGGAGGGGAGAGAGTTAGGACTCTAGCCAGGTTACCTGCCAGGGAAGCGGGGTAACACTCTTCCTGCAGAGCCAAAGCTAACAGTATGTCTATGACATATGGCTCTGGAGCAAGGAGGCAAAGCACCAAAATCTAATATAACTTGGTGGAATGCTGCATCTCTCTTGGCCCCCACCTCCGACAGTGGCCTGGGAAGGTTCAGAAGCACACAGAGAGAGGCCAAGAGGAGGAGACAGACCAAGCAAGTCTGAATCATCCTGCTATCACCACTGAGTTCAATTCTTTCAAAGTTTTTTAGCCTGTTTCTGTGTACACAAAATGTTTTCACAATTAGAGTCAGAAAACTACCCAGTTTGCTAATTGGTTCGGTATTTATTATGAGCCTGCTGTGTGCCTGGCCATGAGCATAGCTAGCAGAGCTCCTGCTTCATGGGGCTCCTGGGGCTGGGAGCATGGGTGGCACTCTGGAGGAAGCGAGCCATGGAGGGTGTGCTGCGTGCTGCATAGGGCTGGGGGCCCCAAGCCTGGACAGCGGTGTGTGACTGATGGACTCTTAAGTGGCTTCCAAGGTCCTGCCTCCTGGTCTTCATGCCCCTCACGGAACCCCCTCCCCTGGAGTGTGGGTCATGGAGGTATTGACCTGGGATGGTGTATATAAGTGTGCAGCACCATCTCGCTGGCTCCCAAGAATGAAGCCACTGTGTGGTAAGCTCTGCCTATGTTGGGGGACCGACGTGGCAAGACCTGAGGGCTGCTGATGTGCCCCCCAGTGGAGCTGCAGGTGAGACCACAGAGACCCACAAACAGAATGACCGTGAATGTGTGATCTGGAAATGGATCTCTGATATAGTCGTCAGGGAAGGCTGAGAGAGGGAGCTCTGTGGAGGTGGGGGTGTGCAGCAGAGAGAGTGACTACAGGGCCTGGGCTGGGAGCCGGGCTGGCCAGCGGGAGGCACGTTCCAGATCCATCATATGCAAGTCCCTCAAGTCCCAGCACATGGTCACACTGCAGAAGTACAAGGTGGCTCTTGCATATAATCGACTATACATCTGCCTGGACTTTCCTGCCCTGAAAGCTCATCCCCTTTTGCTGCCTTTCCTTGAGTGGCAGGGAAACAAATTCTCCTCTCAGTGTTTTTGCATGGGCCGTGCTGCTCAAACAGGACTGACCCAAAGGAAAGGCGGTCCATGCAGGCCAGTGGACAGCCAGATGTGCCCTTCCTTCCAGAGGTGCTGGCTGGCCCACGGCCCCTTCTGACACTCTCCCTTGCTATCCTGAGGGGACACGAGGCCTCACTGGCTCAGCATGATGTAGAGGGAGAAAAGAGTTTCCATAGAATTTAATGAGTCACGTCAGGAAAGGGGGGGGGAAGGGTGACAAGGACACTCTGCCTCGTGTCCTGGGTTAGGATGAAGTCCCCTTGAGCATCTCAAGGACAGAAATGGTCCCCAACACAGCCATGTGAGGTTGGGGCCAGGTGTGAGCCCTGCATGCCCCCCAGCTGGGCGATCTTGGTCTACGTTCACTCCTGTGCTTATTATCTCAGCTGGCCAGACGCTGAGGGAGTTAATAGCCTTGAGGGGTCTGGCTGGTATCTGGTGTATCACAGATGTCATTGGTGTTTTGTAAATGACACTTGGGAACTCACAGAGTGAGCTCCAAGGGGAAAGAATGATCTCTTTAGGGCAGATGACAAGGGCCACCTCCAGGTGGCCTACAGGTGACACCCAAGACTGGTCCGCAGCCTACCTGCTCCGTAGACCACGGAATACACCACCTTCTTGGTCTGCTCTCTGTCTGCATATGTCACACATTCTGGGGGAATGTCCTTCCTGTGTGGAGAGATGGCATGTGGTCAGGCATATCAGCATCGTGCCTGCAGAGGAGGCCATGTGAGTCCAAGCAGCATGCCACCCACCACGGCTCTTAACCATTTCAAACCTGTCCATGGGGTGGGGGGGACATTCAGCACCTGCAGATCTGGCTCAGCAGGGGCTCTCCACATGGATGCTAATGCATGTGGCTCTTCCACATGGTGCAAGCTGGCCATATTCCTGAGCATCAAACACCAAAAACAAAAAGGATTTTCACCAAAGGGGTACCAACCAAACTTGAGGAGAGCCTGCTCCCAGTGCAGGGCACCTGGGCCTAGGAGCCCAGTGGACTCCACACTGGGCTGTGTAGGATAGTTGGGCAGCCTCGGCCTTCCTTGCAGATATGGTTGGGCTGGTGGGTGAGCCGGTCTTAAGCCTACAGCACTCAGACAAAATAAAGATCAACTCAACATCTGACCAGCATGTGAACTGCCACAGTCTGCAGAGGGTAAAGCTGAGCTGTTTGAGTAGCTCCAGGTGCCACCTCCCTGCGCAGCTATGTGCCTCAGGTGGACCAGGTGTCTCTGACAGAGTAGGCATTTCAGATGCATGAGGACAGAAATAGAAAAGGGAATCTGTCCCCATCTTTGTGGGTCAGCTCTGCTCTGGGCTGTTGGCAGCGCTGCCTTATCCTTCCCTTCCAGCTGGCACTGGGCCTAGACACCAGCCCCGCACAAGAGCCTGGGGTCTTCTCTAGTCTTTTCTGAGTGTGTGAGCTGCCTCGGGCATGCATGTGGCTCTCTAAATTTCCTGGTGTGCACAGGCAGCTTTGAGTGCCCAGGAAGTTCTTCTTTTTTTTTCCTTTTGAGATATGTTTATTTATTCTAGAGGGAGGGGAGGGGGACAGGACAAGTGAGAAGGGCAGAGGTAGAGGCAAAGTCTCCAGCAGACTCTCCGCTGAGCGTGGAGCTTCACTTGGGGCTCCAGCCCACGACTCTGAGATCCCACTTGAGCTGAAACCAAGCGGGATATTTCACCCACTGCCCTGCCTAGGTGCCCCCCACCCCAGCAGTTTTTCCCAATTGCTCCCCCCAAACCTCCCTATTATCTTGCTCTGTGGCTGTTTAAGTTACATGTTTTCTAACAATGCCCCCACTTGTCTGCCCCAAGTGAGTTCTGAGGTAGGAGAAACAATGCATGTTGTCAGGCCCTGGGGCAGCCCCCAGACAGCTTAGACTAAACGTGGATCTCTGAACAAGGTCTGCTCACTCTCTGTGGAACCAGGCACCTGGGCCCCAAAGGGAGGTGGAGGTGTGCAAATGCCACAAAGCACTCCCACCATCTGTAGTTGCTTTTTCTTGATTCAGCATTTCCTTAGTTGCTATAAACTGTTGACTGTTTTCCAGAGTTCTGACAAAGCTGGTTCTGACAGTTTTTGCTTGATTTTTTGGTGTTTCTGTGGGGGGGGACAGACCCTCAGAGACGCCAACTTTCCCATGTTCACTGGCCTTCTGGAGTGCACAAATTTTTACCACGTGATCTAAGTACCAATGCATTCTTGTGCTTTTCCCACTGTACCAAGATATTTTGCCCACTTGTTTATCTCACTCTTGAACTTGGTACATTAACAGCTCTATTTAGATGAGAAGCAAAAAACCAACATGCATTCATGCTCAGAACAAATATGTGTCCACTCCTAGGTCACTGTCCACCCTCCCTCCCTTTATTTGGGAAAGCCTGCAGGTGCTCCCAGCCTGCTCAGGAAAGACACTGCTGGAAAACTTGCTAGGACTGGCTTTCCCTGCTTCTTGCCCAGCCATCCGTGACAAGGGCTCAGACAGACCCTCCAGTGGCAGCTGTAGGGAGGGAAGGAGCAAGCACTTTAGAGCCAGGCCCTGCAACCAAGCACGTAGGTGACCTCTCCTTAGTGCTGTCAGGTCAGGAGTTGTATGATGAAACATTAACCTCTCCCAGAACCTGCTTCTTCCCAAAGTGTGACAAGATCCAAACAGTATAACCAATACATAGATATTATGGATGTATATCAAAACCACACTCTCATAGTAGAGAATATACTTTCTTCCTGAGCACATACAGCATATTCATAATAACCCATCATACATTAGGACACCAGAAAATATCAAAAGATTGCACAGAGCAAAAATATTAAAAAAACATTTTGATCACAGTGCAAGAAAACTAAAAACTAAAACCAAAGCCCTCTTTTCTCCCAAACCAAACCCAATCCCATCTACCTAGAATAAAACAAAAAAAGTTCTTTCAGATTTTGGGTGAAGAAAAATACAAATTATATAGCTTCTGGGGCACCTGGGTGGCTCCGTCGGTGAAGCATCTGCCTTCGGCTCAGGTTGTGATCTCAGGGTCCTGGGATGGAGTCCCGTATCAGGCTCCCTGCTCAGGGGGGAGTCTACTTCCCTCTGCTCCTGTTCTCTCTGTCCATTTGCACTCTCTCTCTCAACAAATACAATCTTTTTTTAAAAAAAATTATATAACTTCTAATGAATACCTTGTATGTCAGACACAGTAGATTACTTTTAAAACAGTGAGGAAATTTCATAGCCCTGAACACTTGGTATTAATAACAATGAAAGAATAAAAGTACAGTTGGCCTTTGAACGACACAGGGGTTGGGGTGCTGATTCCCTGCACAGTCGAAAATCCATGTATAACTTTTGACTTCCCCAAAACTTAACTACTAATAGCCCCCTGTTGACTGGTGACCTCACTGATGACATAAACAGTTAACACATGTTCTGTGTGTTACATGTATCATATACTGCATTTTTACAATAGAGTAAGTCATGGAAAAGAAAATGTTAAGAAAATCGTAAAGAAGAGAAAATACATCTACAGTACTGTCCTGAAGCAAAAAAAGTCCTTATTTATTTAATTTCTTAAAAAGATTTTATTTATGGGGCACTTGGGTGGCTCAGTGGTTGAGCATCTGCCTTTGGTTCAGGGTGTGATCCCGGGGTCCTGAGATTGAGTCCTGCATAGGGCTTCCTGCAGGGAGCCTGTTTCTTCCTCTGCCTATGTCTCTGCTTCTCTCTCTTATGTCTCTTATGAATAAATAAAATCTTAAAAAAGATAAATATATTTATTTACAAATAAATAAAATCTTAAAAAATATTTTATTAATTTACAGAGAAAGAGAGCACAAGCAGGGGGAGCTACAGGCAGAGGGAGAGGGCAAAGCAGGCTCCCCGTAGAGCAAGGAGCCCGATGCAGTGCTTGATACCAGGACCCTGAGATCATGACCTGAACTGAAGACACACGCCCAACCAACTGAGCAAGCCAGGTGCCCCAAAGTCCTCATTTAAATGAACCCATGCAGTTCATACCTATGTTGTTCAAGAGCCAACTGTATATGAACTAAGTTTTCAACTTAAAAAACAATAAAAGAACAACAAATCAAAGAACACACAGGAGAGAAATAATAAAGTTAGAATAAAGATAGGAACAGAAATTGATGAAGCAGAGAACACAAAACACTAGACCAAATTAATAAATAAAAATCCTGGTTACTGTAAAAAATAAAATAGATAAACCATTAGCTGGTATAATCAAAAGGGAACAAGCACAGATATACAAAATAAGAAACAATAAGGGAAGGTAACTACAGATATGCAAGAAATTAAAAATTAATCTTAAGTTATTTTGCAGAACTCTATGCAAATAAATTAAAAAACTTAGGTGAAATGGACGTTTCTTAAGAAAATACAGTTATAAAAATTTGTTCTAGTAGAGATCAAAGTTAGGCCATAGAGGAATGTCCAAAGAAGAAACAGAGAAAATTATTAAGGAACTACCCCACAAAGTCCTCCAGACACAGATGGTTTCAAAGGGGAATTTTATCAAACAGAAAATGAAGAAAAATGTATTTTATTAAGTACGTATAACAGTTATACCAAAACATGATAGAGTTTATTTTATTTTTTAGAAAGATTTTTATTTATTTATTTGACAGAGAGAGCATAAGCAGAGGGAGTGGGAGGGAGAAGCAGGCTTCCCTCTGAGCAGGGAGCCTGATGCGGAGCTTGATCCCAGGACCCTGGGATCATGACCTGAGCTGAAGGCAGACACTTAACCAACTGAGCCACCCAGGCACCCCAATAGAGAGTTTAATGAAGGAAAATCACAGACCCTACCTCCTATGAATATTGATTGATGTAATAATCGAAAATAGAATATTGGCAAATGGAGTCCAACCCTATAATAAGAAAATAGTACCCATGGCCAAGCAGAGTTTATACTAGGAAAGCAAGGTTGGTTCAATGTTAGGATAGCTATTAATATAATGCATCACATTAATGGAACTAAGGAGCAAATTATGTGATTGTCTATATAGTTGTTGAAAAAAATCCTACGACAAAATTCAACACCTACTCCTAATAAAAACTCTTGGGAAAATAGGAGTAGCTGGATACTTCCTTAAAATTATAAAATACACACCCCAATCCTAAAGTTGGCATCGTAGTATATGGAGAAACACCAGAAGCACTCTTACTAAGGTCAGAAGCAAGGCAAGGGTGCTCACTACCTCCAATACCATTTAACCTTGTTCTGGAACTATTAGCTATATCATCAGAGTCATAAGAATTGAAAAATATGAAGAAAACTATCTCTAGTTGCAGATGACAAGGTAGTATTCTGGAAATACCTAGAGAAACAATGATAAAATAATTCATAAAGTAGCAAGAAATAAAATTAGCATAGCAAGGCAATAGACTTCATGTATGCCAATAACATGAATGAACATACAATGGAAGAAAGGACTTCATTTACAACATCAGTGAAAATGACAAAATACTTAGGAATAAACAAGAAATGTGTCAAACCTATATGAAAAATCTTTAAAACCTCCTGAAAGACACAAAAGTGGACTTGACTGAATGCAAAGGCATCCCTTGTTCTTGATTGAAATATTTCAATATCATCAAGATATCAGCTCTCCTTACAGTAATTTATGTATTTAATGAGATCTCAATAAAAATACC